TCCTGCTGACTGCTGCTGTAAAAAATTTTTTAGAAAAACAACAAAAGATCTTTCTGTGACTTGGCGTGGTGGCATGAGAAAGTTACTAAACGCTTGAGCAAACTAGCCATTCTAGCTAAAATGGCAAAGGAAGGGGAGAAGTAAAATGTAATCATCAGAAGTCCAAAAGTATGCTGAGAATTTTCTTAGAGAAGAATTAAGGCAAAGGAAGAAGAAACCATTGTTGATACTACCAAAACTATACTAGTATGTTAATGTGTAAGTATTTAAGGATGTTCAGCCTGTCAAACTGTGACAATTTGGTCTGAATACTTTCTCAAAAAAAATCTGATTTCATTCTTTCAGTTCTTGTATTTGAAAGTCTAAAGTCATTCTTGTTAATCATATGACGTTATTCACATCTTGTTAATTGTATTTTTAACTACATGCTTTCTAAAAATTTGGCTTTTATGTATTGCTGTAGATTGTTTTGTGTAAAGTCTAGTGACATATTCATCTGTTTTGATCTTCTTACAATTTTCCTATTGGTGCCCACTAACTGGTACTTTTCCTTTAGTCGATGACTTCAGTGAGGAATCATCATTTTATGAAATTCTTCCCTGTTGTGCCCGTTTCCGCTGTGGTGACCTCATTGTGGAAGGCCAGTGGCATCACCTAGTTCTGGTGATGAGTAAAGGCATGCTAAAGAACAGCACAGCAGCTCTCTACCTTGATGGACAGCTTGTTAACACTGTTAAGGTAAAATAAATCTTTAAGTCCTCATTTTTACTGTTTGGAGTGATTTCTCTCTCTCTCTGTGCATATATATGCACAAAACCCACACAAAATACGAACAAAACAAACCAACGCACCTCTTCCTCCCTAAAAAAACCCCCAGCCAACCAAACAAAAAAACTCAAAACCGAAACAACCCAACAAATCACACACACACAAAAAAAAAAAAAAAACAAACCAAAACACAAAAACAAAACACCCCACAAACCAAAAAAAAAAACCACCACAGAAAATGAGGAGCCTTGCAAAAAAGGGTCTTTGCTCACTACACAGCTCGGAGCCAGCCCTGCTCCTGTTAAGAGAAGATAACCAATACTTTCTTAGACATGACCAATAATAACACTAAAGTGAAGTGGAAATGTTGCATTGGATGTGAGGCAGGTGTGGCATGGCTATACTGCTGACTGGATTAATTAGAAGAATCATAAAAAGCTGAAGAAGACTTATCACAGGACCACGTAGCAGGTCTACCTTTGAATAATAGGGAGATTATAGAGAAAGACAGCTTTGCCAATTTATTCAGGCGGTTCCTTTCCCGGCCCTCTTGCCACCCCAGAAATAGCATCCCCTTGTCAGTGATAGCCACTGAGATATCCAGTGTTGTTGTTAGTTGAATGTAGATGAAACACATTTAGTTGTAAAGGTCAATATCTTGTTGTTAGGTGGAAGAAATTGGGAGGCCAAAAGCAGAGAGCAGCGAAGAGCACTGTGGATGTGTTCACTGAGCACAAAGTATCCCTAACCTGTAATTGATAACCAAAGAGCATTTGGCACCCGGCAGGTGTGGGCCTTAAGGGAGTAAGCTAAACCTGGTGTGGGGTGTAAATTAGCTAGTGATATGGTACTGCTGTAGGTAAAACATTATTTTGACTTTCAAAGTTTACCTTTCAGTATTCCTTTTGCAGAAAGAGGATTATAGTAACTTTACTTGTTATGCTAATAGCTGTAATACATGAGCATGTATCTGGCTATCGATCTGGCCACACGTAACAACATTCAATAGCTGGTAACAGAGTTTTTACAAGGTGGATAGATAATGCCTGCGAGATTGTTATTGACATTATATATAGGCCAGCTTCTTACTCATGTATTTGTTTTCTTGCCATCTGAAAATCTTACCAAATTGAGTTATTACCTTTACACTTTAGCTTGAAACAGTATAATTACCAAAGGCATGTTTTCACTAGCTGAAAAAGGAGGAGAAAGAATGCAAGTTTATGAGAACATCTTACTGCTTTTGCAAAAAATAATGACCGTCATAGAGCACCGTGTTTTTAGAATGAAGATCCAACCTCATTCTTTAGTGTTTTTAAGCACAGAACTCGCATATTCCCGTCCTATATTTCCATGCTCACATTTGTCTTTTGAAAGCCACTTAACTTCTGATCTTTGTATTTACCTTCTGGTTAATGTTCTTCACTGGCTCTTGCTGTATGGCATCAGAATACCGTGCATTGCATAGCAATCGTTTGGTACATCCCATGGTTTGCAAAACGCTTTCCCGAATTTCTGATCTGCCTACTTTCTTTTCACAATAGCCATACTCTCTCAATAACTTCACCATGTTTTTCTCCCTTACAGCTTCACTATATTCATAGTAGTCCTAGTGGGTCTGGTTCTGCCAACCCACCTGTAGTCAGCACTGTTTATGCCTATATTGGCACACCACCCGCACAGCGCCAGCTCTCTTCCTTAGTGTGGCGTTTGGGCCCTACGCATTTCCTGGAGGAAGTGTTGCCTGCCCCAGGTATTAGCACCATTTATGAGCTGGGACCAAATTACGTCGGAAGCTTTCAAGCGGTATACGTACCATGTAAGTACAATTCAAATGGCAGCTATAGTAAATTGGCCTGGGTGTAGTGGAATCTTTTTGTGTGCGTGTTGGCAGAAGAGGTGAGAAAGCAGAGTATGTGGTAGCAGAGAGGTAAAGCTGGCTGTTCATAGGAAGATTATTAGTAGCTGCTATTGAAGAGGATGATAGAAATCCAAATTACTGTTTTAACATACTTCTGGTAGTTTTTGTACTGAGATATGATAGAAGTGCTTGTATTCCTCACTGTGGTTTTAAACCAGTCAGAAATGCTTAAAGCTGTCATTATTCATACTCTATATTATATTTATCTGTAGAAAGTGAAATTGGAAAGGCATTTTAACTTGTCAGTTTCTAGTGATAGCACTCATTTGCAAACCTGCATTGTATTCTGTACTTTAAACACAGTTGTCTTGAAATGTCATTGTTTATAGGGCCTAAACAGGTCAACTGAGGGGAAAAAAAAAAATCAAACAGGGAGGGATTGTGGTGCAGCAGACAGTCTTTAAGCATTAGTTGTGAATGTACATGGGCAATTCTATTACATTTTTTTAAGTGTTCTTGTTTGAAATTGAAGGGAGTGCAACACAAAAAGATGTGAATAACCTTGGTAGAAATGTGTGTACATAGGCCGGTTTTTAAATATTCAGACGGTGGATTCTACGTAGCTGTGGTAAGATGCACTGTCACTAGTGAGATTTTCCTGTTCTGTAGAGCTCCCTGTCTTCCTGTGCAGTCAGAGTTAGCAGTTGCTAACATCAGCATTATGTCAGAAGATGCTCTTTGCTTTACTTGGCTATCAGAGAGGAGATTTTCAATGAAACATAAATAAAAACGAGGAACGTATCGTGTCACCTTGTCCTTGCATTGTCTTTCCCCATGAGGACTGTAATGCTCTCCATCTCTTCTGGAGAGAAACTGTCACCATCTCAAGGAAGGAGGCAGTGACTGATGAGAGCGATAGGAAAACAAAAGTATGTATGGGGAGTGCACAAAGTCTTAGTTTGCATTAGGTGAAAGCTTTCCCTAGAGTGGTGACAGGCCCCTCCATCCCCTCAAATGTAGATGGTGTCCAGGCTGTCAAAGTATCATGAAAAAGAAGGTAGCTTTCCTTGCCCATCTTCAGTGAAAAACTTTAGGACATTGAATTTTGTCACACACAGATCTGTGTCACATACTTGCTTTTTTGACAGCTAGACAAAGTTGGCAAGAAATTCTGGATTTAGGTATGTGCTAGTCAATTATAATTGCTCCTGGAAGGCATTTTGACTGGCAGTGTGCAAGTTTCAAGTACTGAATTAGCCAAAGCAAATTCTGTGAAAGTGAACTTGTTCATTGACTTCTGAGAATTAAAGGTCTTCCTGCCTTTATGTGAGGGCCATGTTCATCAGGAAGCCCACAGTAACTTCAAAGAATTCTTCATTTCTTAACATACTGACTTTTTCCAGTGTGAGGGTGTATTTCTCCCACCCAAGCTTTGCTGTTTGTTGTATTTCAGGAGCAGTGTGCTCCAGAACGAAGGGCATATTTCTATTTGGGGCTAAGCTTCTGTTCACGTCGTGTATACTGTGCCAAACCTAAGGAGTTTGATAGGGGATGCAGTAAGAGTTCTCTATCTTGCCATTTTACCTTGGCCCCTCTTTCCAAAATACTTGTTTTTCCTTGATGTAATGACTATTTGTGGGAATCCTTGAGAAGGGAAGAGCCCTTGCAGTCTTCTGCTGTTGTCCTTTACAGGGAAATTGTGTCTGACTTGCCATCTGCCCATGCAATGCTGCTTTGGGAAGTTTTGTCCCTGTTTTCAGTGAGCAAGTTTTCCATCTTCTGAGAATTTGTCCTGTGTTTAAACAAAATGAAAAACCTAATACTCTTTAAGTCTTGGAAGACCCCTCAGAAGGCAATTACTAGTTCAGGAGATGGAATTCCTTTGTCTGTCTGCTGAAATGGAGGAATGTTCTCAGGGCAAACATGTGAACAGAGGATCCAATGAGGATCTCATTTATGGGGAAACCAAGACTTCTGAAACTCTCTCTTAAGTGAGACTTGACAGAGATTTGACCCTAGTTCAACAAATTATTTAATCACCCAGCTTCTCACTTGGTTCAGTGTTAGACGAGGAGCCTTCATGCTTTTTCACTTCCATTAATGTGTTTCACTGAAGTTGCAGACACATTTTGACCTGGAATGAAGACGCAGAAGTGAACCTCTATGTTGAGCTTGTCAGGTGCTGAGTTTTGCACACTTCCTCTAAGCGTTGTAGACAGCTATCAATCATAGTGTTTGCAGTGCCTCACGAGAAGCATCTGCTTTCGGAGCAGTGGATAAAAAATATTAAAGATACAGTTATATATTCTCTTTGATGCCTGGGCCTTTTGGTCTTTATTCAATCTTGCATCTCTTGTACCATTCTGTAAGGTGGTTTTCCTAAGAAACCATTGTAAAAAGCCTGTTGTCACAGGCAAAGATGCAGATGTACCAACTACTGCTCTGTTTTTTTGATTCCTTTGGTTTTCTTCAGGTGGGAAGGGAAGTGAACAGCCCTTAGGCTGTACATAAATTGAATACAGGAGTAATGTTGCCTTCCAAAAATTCAGATGAGGAAGCACCACGTCTTCTATTGCTTGACCAAGCCCCAGGCTGCCAGTTGTCATTACAGATTAATACTGTAGACCTTCTTGAAAGGAAGTGTTTGCTGTATGTTGCCCTTTTATCTTAAATAGCAAATTTATTCCACAACTTGTATGCTATCCAACTGCTCTTCAGTGCAGCAAGCAAGTATGCAAAGACGATATCACCTATTGGCTGTTTGTAAAACCTCTCTTCTATACCTATTCTGCAATATAATTTGCTTAGGATTTTACTCTTGAAACTGAAAAGAAAAGCAGTGCTATTAATGAAATGAACTTTTATTTTGTCTTTAAGGCAAAGATTCGAAGTCTGAAGGAATCAGCCCATCTCCAGTATCTTTGGTACCAGAAGAGAAAGTCTCTTTTGGTCTCTATGCGCTGTCAGTTTCTTCATTTACAGTGGCAAAAATAAGGAAAGTTTACAACAAATTGGACAGCAAAGCTATTGCCAAACAGGTATGTTGGGAAATGAGTTGGTTAATGTGTACTGCTCTTTCGTTCCTTTCTTTTAACTTCTTTCATGGCAATTTGCTAAGCGCAACCAGGAACAATAATGTAGTTGTCAGAAGAGTTGTCCATAATCACTTCCATGTTTTTAAAAAAAATCAAAGAGAAATTGAGGGAGATTATACTCCGAGGTTGTATTTGCATTCTTGATATTACTATTAGCTATGTATCTTTGCACCTTTTGGAGGTATTTTGGCTTTTTAATGTAGATGGCGGTTGTAATCCTCTTGAAAAACAGTTAAGATTACATCACTGAACAAATATTTCTACTGTTGCAGATGAACAAAGCTGATAACTTAGGCTTCTGACTGTGGTTCAGGTTTGGAAACCAGAATATTGGTTTACGTTTTTCTTCGAAGTACATTAAAAGTCAGTTTGTTCAAAGGACTGTTTATGAAGAAAGGACAAGAGAGTTGGGGTTGTTCAGCCTGAAGAAAAGGCTCTGAGGAGACCTTAAGCAGCCATTCAATACATACAGGGAGATTATAAGAACAACGGAGAGAGACTTTGTACCAGGGTGTGTAGTGACAGGACAAAGGGCAACAAATTTAAACTGAAAGAAGGTGGATTTAGATTGGGCATAAGGATAAAACTTTTTACGGTGAGGGTTGTGAGACACTGGGGGAGGTTGCCTAGAGAAGCTGTGAATGCCCCATTCCTGGAAGTGTTTGAGGGCAGGCTGGATGGTGCTTTGAGCAACCTGGCCCAGTGGAAGATGTCCCTGCCCACGGGAGGGGGGGAATTGGGCTAGATAGTCTTTAAAGGTCCCTTTCAACCCAAACCATTCTATGACCTGGTGGGTTTATTTTTAAAGTTAGATTCAACTTCCTTAAAGTTTGGAGGCTGAAGATTTCTCTTTATGTTAGGGAATGTCTTGATGATTCTAGCATAGTTCTGTTACTTGCTCTTTCTCACAGGAGGAAAACAGACAAGTTGTATTCAGGCTTGCATAAAAAAACCTCTGTCCTTTAGCCCCTGCTTTTTTTTCTTGTTTTGTTCAGCTGGTGATTTCTTCTCATGAAAATGCCACACCTGTGAAGCTGCTACATAACTCAGCAGGGCATTTGAATGGACCGGCACGCTCCATTGGTGCAGCTTTGATAGGATATTTGGGTGAGTTGAGTACTTGAGAATTATTATGTTTAACAATGGTTAATTACTTGTCAATAAGAACTTAGGTCTAGAAGATAAATCACGTAATTGATAAATGTTAATGGTACATTGTTAAATTTATTTAACATTTTTTATATTTTATGTACATAGTATTATCTGTTTTCTTTTTTACTAATATAGGATGCTTGTTTCAGTTTATGTGTTATCATTATGGAATTACTTTGCCTTAGGTCATAAACTATTTTCTAGTGCAATATTTCCTTCACCTCCACTTCTGAGGTGTCGTAGTTCTTCTAGTGGTGTTATTTTCATAAGTCAAGCAATGCTAAAATGCAAATTACTTACATGTATTCACAATGATTTCCTACAAGAATTAGATTCGATTCTATTTTAATTTCTTTTCTCTGCCTATGCTCAGGAGTAAGAACATTTGTCCCCAAGCCTGTTGCCACTACACTGCAGTACATTGGTGGAGCTGCTGCTATTTTGGGACTTGTAGCCATGGCATCAGATGTAGAAGGGTTGTATGCAGCTGTGAAGGCCTTGGTCTGTGTGGTAAAGAGCAATCCACTAGCCAGCAAAGAAATGGAAAGAATCAGAGGTTATCAGGTATGTAAGAAATGTCTTAAAACAGACCAGGCTGATTGAATTTCACTGTCCTAGCAGTTCCTGTGGAAATTCCTTGTTGTGTAACAAAGTAACCTGAGTTTCTGCTCTTAAGTTTACTGAGCTCTTGGTTAATTAGCATAGATGAGTTACTTAGGATGGCTTTTAAAGGCAACGGTGGAAAGTTTTGCTACGCAAATGTGCACGTGTAGCTGCTTTGCTGAAAATGAGCCTTCATTAATAGCAAGGAAGAGCACAACTATGGCACTTAGATGATTCTTTTGCCATGATTGTGAACCCACCCCTGTGAGCTCAGGACCTGCTGTGTCTATGATCTGCTGGTAAGAGAGGAGGATAGGGACACGTGAAGAAAACCAAACAAGTGGACTTTGGGAATCCTCGTTTTGAGGAGATTGCACAGACTTTATAGTTAGCGATGATGTTTGCTTTCAAGCTGAAGACTTCTTAATTCTCCGTTGGGACGGGGAAGTGCAATCGGTTATGCAGAAGGATTGATTGACTGACTTGAAAAGATCTTCACATGACCAGTGCATTTGACATTTCTCATGAAGACTGCTTTACTGAAACGAAAAGTTCATGATGCGGTTTGGGCAGCGTATTTACAAAGCTTGTAATGCTAATGGCTAGTATTGTTATGTCAAAACATATTATTCCATGTAGCCTGTTGCAGACCTTGGTTTACTTTGACCAAACAAATCTAGACAGGATCCTCCTTGCACCATAAGCAGTCAGCAGATCATCACATACGACCTGAAGTTCCACTTGTATTGACCTCAGCAAATAGCATGGTTTGAGAGAGATTCCCAGAAATCTGTATGTCTTTAGTAATGTTTCAAGGAGGATGGTGAAGCTGAACAGGCCATATGTTGAGAGTTTAACAAGTCTGCATCAGAAAACAAGAGACAGTAGTAGTACGTCTGCCAATTGGTTCTTTCCCAACCCAAGTATTAAGAAGTTTGAGCAGAAATGAGGACTGAAAGGAAGACGTCTACGGTCACACCTAGGGCAGCAAAGGGTAGCAAGAAAAAAGAAAGTCAGACTTTTTTGAATTTATGCTGTCATGGCTACTTTTCTTCAGTGCCAGAATACCTCTCATTTGTGCATGCGGTATTGTGGAGGTGCTTTATTTAAGTCTGCCTTGTCCACGGTTGCTGTACAGGAACACAACGCTGTGAGAATGTATCGTGTGCTGTCTTAAGCTGTGACTGACTACCAGAGAGCTGAGAGGGGGGTGGTGTGAGTGTGTGTGCCTAATCCTCAGGGCCTAAATACTATCTGCAGTGTAGAACAGATGTTTGATCAACTGGAGGGTGTCCTGGATGTGCCCCTTTTCTAATCAACCGTAATGCCACTTTCAAACTTTTTCATCAAGAGTATCAACTATTGGATATACTTGTCAAAAGGGACACAGACATTTCATCCATGCTTCTTTGCTTAGACAACATTGCTGTGTATTCATAAACTACTAATTGCTTTTCTGTTTACTCATTCAAGTTGCTAGCCATGCTGTTAAAGAAGAAACGATCCCTTCTGAACAGCCACATACTCCATCTGACCTTTTCCTTGGTGGGAACTGTCGATAGCGGGCATGAGACATCCATTATTCCAAATTCTGCTGCCTTCCAGGATCTGCTCTGTGATTTTGAAGTATGTAAAGCTGCACAGAAAAGTGATGATGATGCTGGATGGTGATGAAGTCAGATGCTGATAGCATACCTTAAACATTGAACAGCAAACTAGGTTGTTATCTTGAGAACTTACTATTTCATGTGTAGTACAGTAAAGAGCTGAGCAGCAAGATTATTGGTAACTTTTCCTTTTTTTTTGAATCACTGTAGAAACAACGGATGGGTATCACAGATGTTTCTACTTTTTGTTGTTCTAGAAGATACATTTTGTAGTTTTCTCTTCAGCAATTTCTTTTAACCTGCATGTTCTACTGGGGTACATATATCAAGGCATGAAAGACATACTGAAAATAACAGTAGGAGGTAAACTTTCAACATAGCACATAGGAATCACTTTATTATACATCTCCTGCAAAGTTAATAGTAAGGCAGTTAAAATTCTGCTTGCACGACTTCAGAAATATTTAGGTGTTGTGTTAAACTAAGGAAAGTAGAGAAGTTCAGAAGGAAATGCTAATGAAGTAGAGGCTAATAAATGATGCATAGAACTTGTTGTTTTAGTGTTTGCTCCCTTGACATTATCTGTACCTGACACAGACTGAGTAAAAGTATTCTGATTCACATATACTAAAATAAATAAATAAATACAAATACTACTACCACTACTAATCTAGCTATGAGACACTGACTTAGTAGCGCAAGTCCGTCCTGCAGAAATGGCTTTATGGAGTTATCCATTTCCTCCTTCTATATGCCTATTTGAGTATTTCAAAGCACTCCTGGAAACTTTTTTTTAAGGGTCTTGTTTATGACGAAACTCCTGCTGCTTACTATAGCCTTTATTTTAATAAAATCAACTGGCCTTGGTAACTTTGGGTTTTTGAGAGCTTAAAGATCTTTAATACACCAAACTCCCCCACGTTGCCAAGATCAACAATACACTATAATTATGGCACAAAGGAAGAGGAAATGAAAAGGGCAAACCTAAGCTTCTTTTTTTTTAACCTTAGTGGGGTTCTAATGCAGAGGAAATTTGTCACCCACCAAAGTTTCCTTTTTTTTTTTAAGGCATAACGTTAAAACTAGAAATAAGTTTGTGCCGTGTCTAAACATAAATTCTTCAGTATCGTGTAACTGGTTATTCTTTAACAAACCTTTTAAATTACAATAACGCTTCCTTTATGTTCACAAAATTAAATGCAGACATAATAGAAGTTATTACATCTGCAAGAGTTAATATTTGTGGTAGAGGTCTTAAGGTAGATGAACTGTTTAGCAGAGAGAAGAGTGTGAATCACAGCCCAGCTCCTTTTAGTGAGACATGAACTCTGCTGAAGAATACTCTTCTCTCTTTCTTTGTTTTCTTTTTTTTTCCCTTTTCTTTCCCCCATAAAGGAATGAGCAGAGAAATTTCATCAATGGTATACAGTCACTCAGACAGCAACTACTGTACAAAAGATCCAATTTTATGTTGTTTAGTTCTTGTGTCTTTTTTTTCCCTGAAGATGAAGGATAACTGGAGAATGCATACACAAACTAAAAAAAAAAAAGTGCAAGCAATAGGTCTGCAAGTCACTAAGAAATTTTCCAAAAGCTTCAGGTTTTGGCTTGGGTTTTTTAAAATTATTTATTTTATTTCTATATTCAGAAATCAGTGACCCAAACATTTCACCTAAATTGGATAAATCAGATGTTCTTACTCTTTGCTAAACAGGGTAATGAAAAGATTTGTTCTGATCATTTTAGATTATAAGATTAGAAGAAAAGCAAAAGCTAGAAAGGTTTTCATTTGAGCCAGTTTTATACGACAGAGCACAAGTATTAATTATGCTTTGTTCAATAGCAAGACAATTTTAAGATTTGCAGCTATAACTGTGAGCTTTCTGGCTTTTATATCTTTTATTACTTCTATTGATTGAACAATTGTTTTTGTGGGGTGGTGTTTTGGTTTTTTTTGGTAGAGGATCTAAATAATTTAAAATGGTGTGCAGACAATGCTGGGTTACAAAAAAAGTCAAAATCAATGAAGACCTTGAGTTTAATCTTGCAGAAGATAGTAAGTTAATTTTACAAAGAGAAAATCTTCACTTAAGCCAAATAAACTTAACACGGCATTTCGCACCAGCCCTGTAAACCCCAGTAACTACTTTGGAGTGATTGCACCATCTGTTTAAAGGGAAATTCCAGATAGCGTGTAACCTTTTTGTCTAGAACTCTTTAAAAGTTTTCAGCATGTTGTGCCTACAGAGAATATGTTTGATATCAATGTGTGTTTCTTTAGTCTTTGCTAGTATATGTAATACTTATCTGAAGTTAAAGAATAAACAATTGAGAACCTTGCAATGAGCTTTTGAGCACAACGGCCAGGTAAATAGTCATGTAAACAAACAGTTTTAATCTCTTCGAGCCTTTCGTAACCTTTGGTATATTAATGTCAGTTTTTAACCTTAAAGTGGGCTTGTATACAAAACATATCACTGTTTATTCTGTATTTCAGGTCTGGCTTCATGCACCCTATGAGCTTCATCTGTCATTATTTGAGCACTTCATCGAACTTCTCACTGAGTCAAGGTATGAGCCGATGCCAGCCTAGTAATGAGACTTACGGGATTAGGTAGTATGAAGAAGATGCTCCAATTTTAAATTGCCACCTCCTTTCTTTCCTTCTTCCAGCGAAGCGGCAAAGAACGCTAAGTTAATGAGAGAATTCCAGCTCATCCCAAGACTGCTCTTGACTCTTCGAGATATGTCCCTGTCCCAGCCTACTATTGCTGCGATTAGTAACGTGCTGAGTTTTTTGCTTCAAGGCTTCCCTAGCAGCTATGACTTACTCAGGTAGCCCACACCTGTGATAATTCTGGCTTTCTTGTTTTTATTACGTTAGTGATCTTGGTCAAAAATACTTAACGGTCATACTGCTGTGCAGTAAGTAACATGAAATGCTCATGTACTGAATTTTTTCCTCTAAGAACTAGACTGAACTAGACATAGACAATAATTTCGTTAATGCCTTGATTTGCATATTAAATTCAGTTTGTATCTAACCGGGTATGACTGAATTGATTAAACTGGCTTAATGTTCTGCAGGCAAAAAGCAAAGGTGCTGTATTGCAGCTCCCTTGTTCCTGTGAAGCACTGAGCACTTTCCTTAAATACCATTGAATATTACTTGAGATGAAGTGTAATGATACTTCTGGTTAAAATGCAGCTTTGATTACTCTCCTGCATGAAAGGTTTAGTTCAAGATTTTTTTCTTAATCACTACTTTATAAAAAAATATTTAAGGCTGTCAGATATAGTACTATTAATTCTGACTGATAAAAGTTAGGTAAATAATTGAAATTCATAGGAACAGGAGTATTTAAAATGCTTTTAAATGAGTTCAACTGCTTGATAACTTAATTTTTCTCACCTCCCATTTCATTATAATGGAAATGGATAAAATACTGCAGGGCTTGGAAGTTCTTTGCATGCAAATAGTCATGTTTTCAGCTTCTCATTTTAAGTACAATTAAAGGTATCAGAAGCATCAACCTGAACATCTCACCTGTCTTTGTTTTAGTTATACAGGACAAAAAAATGATTCAAGAATAAAACCATTCATTTTATGCTTAAATGGTTACAGAACAGATTGTAGAATGCCTATCTGAGTGTTTTTTGTTCTCCTTCCTGGAAAATAAAAATGAAAAATATTGTATAACTTGGGAAAAGTTATACTAGCTAGGGACCATTTCAGGTTAGTTCCAGAGGAAAGAGCAATATATTGCATCTCTTTTCTTTGAGCAGCACATCATCATCTTGTCTTGGAAAACCATGACCTTGTGTTACATCACCTCAAGCTATAGGCATAAATGTTATACCAGAGACAAGTAATCACTGTTTTTGATGTAATACTTGTTCAGCTGTAATGAGTTTTTCTTTCTTTAACTTGTGGTGTTCCTTTTACTAGGACTTGGTGGTATCTCCCAGTTTCCTTTCTTGAATCTTACCTGCAGAGCTGTCTGCAAAGATTCCATTAATTACTACATGTTAATTTGGTTTTTGGCTATTAATTGCAGATGGAGACTGTTTTCCTCAGTCTTCAGATGTGAGAAAGATGATGTTTTTGGCTATCTCCCTCTCAGTGGTATTATGGTCTTATATTTAAGGTGAATTATTGATAGATGAGAGTGCATCTGTAATGTCAATGAATGATGTTTTTTCTCTATACATCAAGGTTTGGACAGTTCATATCTTCTACTTTACCTACATTTGCAGTCTGTGAGAAGTTTGTAGTCATGGAAATAAACAATGAAGAAAAGCTTGACAGTGGTAAGTGGTGGCATGGCTTAGAAGCAGTAGAAGGGAAATGCTTTGTGATCTCTTCTGTGCTTAAATATGTAAAATGTAGAAATAGTGACATTAGCAATATTGTAATTTTGTTATAATGTGACTGCCAGTTAGTTGTGGTACTTCAGTTTTCAGTCTTGTGTGCAAAGCAGTGCAAAACCCACACACTGCTCTTTTGTTTTCCTTCATTTCACACTGGATGGTTTTGTTCTGTTTCCTCCACTTGCTCCTTCAATCAGCTGTGCATCTCTGCTTCTTTGTGGGGAGAGAAAAAAGACCAAAACAGATTACTAGGTGCCTCTGCCCTCCAGGGGTGGAGGAAGTGAAAGAATGAACAAAGACAGCCTAGTTTGTTTGGGGTTATTTTTAGGCAAAAAAAGAAGTTTTACTATTCTTTAAGAATGCTTATATTGAATTGTTTTGAGACCATTTCTACCCTTGTTTTCCTGAAGACAAAAGGCTTATGCAACTGTGGTTTTGATCAGTCTCCCTGAACAGAAATTTTTTAGCCCCACAGTGGATGTCACCCAAGTAACTAGAAGGGAGTGCCCAAAAATCCTATGTTTCTATGTCTCTTGGGAATATACTGGTGCACAAGTCAGAGAGAAGTGTTTCTGCTTTACAGTTGCTTTATTGGTCTGGTTTTCTATGTCTCTTGGGAATATACTGGTGCACAGGGACAAGTGAGAGAGAAGTGTTTCTACTTTACAGTTGCTTTATTGGTCTGGTTTCCCAAAGAACAAGGTTTAGGCAGTCTGCACACTCACCATTATCTCCCTGTGCCTCTCCTGGTCCTTCTAAATACTTTTGCTTATTGTGGTCTCAAAGATGATTAAATTTGAGCTTTTTAGTGAAAAAGAGGGGGTGGGTATTGGAGGGAGATCCAGACTGGTGTTCTCGCTATAGGCCAACTGTGGGTTTTTCCCAGGCTCACCCAGCCTGAGCTGCTTTTTGCCTACACGAGGGACTGAAGAACCTTGAGGAAAAATTCAGGCTGTGGCACGAATGGAGAGAGGGCAGTTTTTGAGGCAAAGGACATGAGATTTTTAGGTTGCTGGTCTTCACCAGTTCTACTCTATTTCTGCTATAGAAGATGCTTTGCGTTCGTGTCTGTGACTTGTGTGCAAAACTGTGGCCCTGAAAGTGTCCTTTTATCTGTCTTCATTTTTTCATGTTACCTCAAGTTGTGATTTTCTTTTCTTTTAAATAATGTAAAAATGTAGTCTTCCTTTCACAGCATAAGGTACAATAAGAGGGATTCACAAAATAACTGTAAAGCTAGTCCTGAGCTGCCTGTATTGGCTTGTTTTGCAGTAAGTATGTTCTTATCTGATGATGAGTGTGGGGATCTGTCAAAAGAAAAGGAAACTAATTTTTCTCCCCATTTCTTAGATTTGGAGGCAGTTGGAAGTATCAGGTGTGTTGGGGATTCTCCACTGCGCACCCCCCCCCCATTGCATAATGCAAAATGTTTATCTAACTACCATGTTGTGGGGGTTTGGGGGGAGGGAGGGATGGGGGGTGTGGTGTTTGATTATTTTTATACGTCTATCTGCCAGGAGTGACTAGCTTAGCTAATTTAGACCGCCTCAGTTTAGATTATTGTCTGATAAGCTGCGATTCCCTTTTACTCATTCTTCAAACTGACCAAAGTCTGTGTGTTGATGATAATGGGGCACCAAGCATTTCTCGGCAGCGTGTAGCAGGCTGCCTGCACTTCAACATGGCTTCTTTGCAACCTGAGTGGGATTTATGAATAGTCTTTAAAATGTCTGAGTTCCAAAAGTATAATCTTGCTTTTTTTTTTCTGTGTTTAGGAACAGAGGATGATTTTGGAGGACTTGTTTCAGCTAATCTTATTCTACTGCGGAACAGGCTTTTAGATATCCTTCTGAAACTTCTATATACATCTAAAGAAAAGACAACTGTTAATTTGCAGTAAGTACAAAAAAACTTGAGGTAGAGAAAGGATATAATTTTTTATTTCAAGGAGGAGAATTATACAGCCCCCATTCAATTCACTAGTTGAATTGCATAATTTTATAGGAATTATTGAATTAGCTTTGGGTATGCTAGCAGAAACAGAATGCAGGATTATTGAGTTATATGCTGTCGGTTGTGGTAGCAAGAACGATAGTACTAAGCAGATGCTGGTGTAACTAACATGTATCTTTCAGCTATTGCATTAACTGGCTTTTGTTTTGAATCTTTGAAATAAAAAAATGTTTAAGACTGTGATTGACAGCATTATTAGAAACTTAAGCTTCCAGTTAGGAACAGCAGAAGTAAATATCAGCAGGAGATGAAAATACTTAGTAGATCTGGGGGCAGATTTCTTGCTTCTTATTGTTACTTCATGGAAGAAAAATAGTGTCTGTAAAATAGTTAATTTTAAAACTCAGAGGGACAGAGGATCACAAGTGAGCAGGATGCAGTGGGAACAAGTGTGGATGTCAGGCTACTTTGATTTTTTTTTTTTTTTTTTTAAATTTTATTATCTGGAGAGCCAGTTCTTTAACTCTTTGCTCTCCTCGTATACTTCTTGGTGCTGTTTTCTCATGACTTCATGCATGGCTATAGAGAAAATAAAATCTGTTGAAAGATGAACACTTATGTTTTTAGAGAAGTGGGATAGTGAACTTCTCTGTTGGTTAAGATCAAATGGCGTCAGTAGGGGTTATCGTTAGGATAATTGACCCTAGAGTGCCCCTTGGTTCCTTAAAATTGCATGTGAGGGAACACAATATCATAGTTTAATGGGGCACTTGAGTTTTATGGTGAGTTGGAGAACAGACGTTGAAACACTGTCACGTTAAACCTTGACAAAATATAACTTTGAAGGAACTGCCTTGTAAGTCTGTATTGAGTTTGTTGGAGGCATTTTGTGGATGTATGCCATAAGTACATAAGTAGATTATGCAGTGAATGACTGAGCATTGGTTGACATACAGCCTGAACCTGTTTGAGCTTTTTGGCAATACTGCTTTAAAAAAAAAAAAGGGGAGGGGGGGATGGGGGGCAGGGAAGACCATATTCCTTCAAACATTCCCAAGCAACTCTTCCCTTAATTAAAAAAAAAAAAACAACAAACCCTTCATTTTTTAATGCCAGTTTATTAAAAAGTCTTGTGAGAAGTCTCTACCGATACATGGCTCAACAAAAAGTATTTGGAAATTCTATTTTGTGGACAAACATTTCCAGTTCAGCATTCCACATTTGTTATTGAAAGCAGCAAGTGGAGAAATCTCATGCAATGGAATAGTCCTAGGAGCTGTATTTAGTCTTCCTTTCTGCTAAACAAATACACTGTACTGTTCCATTTAACAAGAGCTGGTGAGCAACAGTTCTTGTTGTATAGAAAACTTACCTAAGAATTCAGTTAACTCTTCAATAGATCTGAATTTTCTCTGATCTTGAAGTTTGCCCTGTAGTGGGGGACACTAATTTTTGCCATCTAGTAGAAAACTAAATGCTGTAAAATGTGACCACTTTTTTTTTCTTTTTTCTCTTTAATTAGGGCTTGTGAAGAACTGGTCAAGACACTAGGTTTTGATTGGATTATGTTGTTTATGGAAGAACATCTGCATTCCACCACAGTCACAGCAGCCATGCGAATTCTTGTGGTCCTATTGAGTAATCAGTCCATCCTTATCAAATTTAAGGAGGGTCTCAGCGGTGGAGGCTGGCTGGATCAGACGGATTCTGTCTTGACCAATAAGATTGGTACTGTGCTAGGTATGACAACTTAGCCCCCGCATCCCTCAAGGATTGTGTGGGAGCGCGTGTGCATATATGTCAAGGTGGGGTTATCATATGAATGCTGCCTGGCAGATGCATCCTTTCTGTTACTGTTGTCTGTGCTGTGACCTCTTGCTTCTGACTTCATTTTTCTTACAACTAAGAGTTAGAGTTCCTAAGTAAAAGGGAACTGCCCTTCAGTTGACGTTATGCAGATTTCATTGGAGTTCGGTATTACCTCATCATCTGCACGAAGCCTGTGTAGCTAATCGGTTTTTTCTGTTACCATCATGGTAAGGTTAAGTATGTCCTGTGGGCAGGCATACCTGAGCTAGATGCAAAGGTAGCATAGCATAGCACCTTATGTGTGCAGCTAGTAACGATTCGGTAAATTTTACTTGTTTGTTTACTTTTATTAGTTAGAGCATTGTGCAGTGTTATACCTGAGCTGCTTTGTCTAGTGAGGTCTGTGGCAATTAAATTTACCGGTTTGGATTTTTGCCATCTTGGGAAATTCTGTGTTTGTGGTATCATCTCAGCCTTTCTTTTCCTCTCCCGCTCACGCTCCCTCTCTTATTAAAGACTTTCTTTGCGGGTTCTTAAAGTCTCATTTATCCAGGTTGTCAGGCCTTTCCTAGCCTCTGTAATCTAGAATTCAGTTTAAAAGGTTTTAGTGCTACAGGACCCATTTTGAGCATCTCTAAGGTGTGTGAAATGCATCTCCAAGTGTCTGAAACAATGGATGTCAGTTCTGTGTATTGACCATTTCCCATGGACCTGGTTTTTTTAAGTCAAAATAAGATAGCGCTTTTCAGATAAATGTCCATTCAGACCCTGATGCAAACCCATTGACATTAAATGGGAGTCTTTCATGAGACTGAGTAGGCTTTAGATCAGGGCGGGGTATTAATAGTACTTTCAACTTAATTGTTGTTCCTAAAATGACTGTACAAGGAGCCCCCTCCCTGTGATGCAGCAGTATATGATCTAATTCTGCAGTAAAGATTTTTCTGAATTGTTTTATTAGAAGGAAATAATTGTGAAGTGTTGTTGAAATGATCTTATTTCAGGAAGAGGGCTTTTCCTGAGATGAAAATATAAAGTCCATTTTTTTTCTGCTTTGTCACTTTGAAATTTATCAAACTATCCTGTGCTATCTTGTTATTTTTTGCATAAATAAAACTGTCTATTAAGTCTGTCTATTTACAGTGGTTTCTCATAGTATATCCCCCAGGATATTCAACTAGGAACAGAGGATGGTGCTTTGGGTTGTTAATGAATTAGGAAGGTTAAGGAAAACAGTTTTTCTGAAACCATATTACATGAGCAAACATTATTGTTAACATACTATAGCATCTGTTGTTTGGCCAATTCTGATTAAAGTCCTGTATTTTCTTTAAGAAACAATATTGGCACCTGCATGTGCCTGAATGCATGTGCCTTAAAATTTGAAAACCATTGATATTTTACAGACTTGACTGTTGTTTATTCAGTATCCACTTTAAATGTCCAATAACATAAAAATTTTCTTCGGTCTTGAAATCTTTCTAAATAAGATTTTGATTTACAATCACATTTGGAGAACATTTGTAGAGTTTTCCTATTTTTCTTACTATAGTATTGCTTTAATTCAATCCAAGCTAGACTATGACCAAACAGATATTTTTAAACTTGTGTCTCATGAATTGATTATCTTATTTTCATACTCTGTGTTTTTTAATAAATTGCAACACATTGGCTCCAAGATTTCTCATGAAACCAAATATGAGCTGTTTTTTTTTTTCCAGATTACTGATAGAATTCCAGCAGCTTTGTAGCAAAGATTTCATTAGTCTGATTCCTGGTAGATGTTTTCTGTTTAAGAAGTCGATTTGTGGTGGAAAGAATATCTGTATTGGAGCCTCAGAAAAACAACCTGATCTCTGGCAGTGTCAGAAGAATGGCTCACTGTGTGAGCTGATGTGGAGACTGAGCTGTCTTCCTGCCTCACTTAAAAATGCCTCATTTACAGCTTCTGCTGCCCTGGTGTATTTTTTTTTTCCCTTTTTTAATAGGAAAATTAAATACCTAGGTAGAAGCAGGGTCACAAAAGTGAGTTTTGTGCCTCTGGCAGCACTTAAGATAAATTTAAGAGCATTTAATGCTTCATACCAGCTGATTAATCAGTAACAAAACAGCTGAAACAAGATGCCCCTGAGACATCTTTGGAAACAAATTAGCCACCCATCGACTTAAATGGGCCATGGGATTGCTGCTTGGTAATACAAATCTGTAACTGAGATTAAGGTGATACTTCCTTATCACCTTAATCAGCCAGAGAAATATCTTTTTTCAGAAGCTTGGGTGTTTTAAAAGTCTGAAATTGTGATCATGGTCAGAAAATGCATCTGTGTGTATGCGGTAGCATTAGGCAGTCTGTATGGCGCGGTGTCATCTGTGTGGTACTGGAAGGCAATAATTTCCTTTTGTTTTTTTATTGATTAAAAAAATTAAACATCTAAAGCAGAATTGTGTAATATGTGTGTGATAGTCTGTATGCACACATTCGATTTTTACAGCGTTAATTTCTGAGGAATTACCTTCTCGAGTTCACTACTTGAGTAAGAGTGAGCTTCACAGGCATTTCCCTATTAACATTGCTGGCTTTTTGTCTTTTTTTTCTGTCTTAGGGTTCAATGTCGGCAGGAGTGCTGGTGGCAGATCAACAGTCCGGGAGATTAACCGGGATGCTTGTCACTTCCCAGGCTTTCCCGTTCTGCAGTCCCTTCTCCCGAAGCACACTAACGTACCTGCACTCTATTTCCTTCTCATGGCCCTTTTCCTGCAGCAGCCAGTCACTGAACTGCCCGAAAACCTGCAGGTCAGTGCGCCTGTCGTCAGCAGCCTGTGTAATCAGGGTTGCCAGGTAGGGATTATGTAGTAAAATGTAAATGGAATTCTGTCTGTCATGAAAGAAAATAATGGATTAACCAGGCCCCCTCCTTCTTCTCTGCAGCTGATTCACAGTCACGATGTGGTGTTCAGTGTTGAGTTGTTTGGGGTGGGAGGACAAGATACCGTGGGAATATGGGGAAGTCAGGCTGTTATGGTGTAGCTGTCATTGGTGTCTTTCTGGTCTGTTTTGGGGTCAGATGAGAAGCAGGTCCCCGGTTCAAGCTGGCGTGGTGTGGGCATTGAAGGAGGCATCATTTTTTGCTCACTTTCTTTGGGGTTGGGGCGGGGAGTGGGGGGGTGTTTCTTGGTTGTTTTTTTTAAAAGAGCGGTAAGTTGCTGTGTTAGAGAGTTCACAAGGTTACAGACAAAACAAGGTAGCTTTTATTTCAGAAAGTGCCTGTGGTTTTGTAGGGAGGCATCTCGGTTGATGGAAAATGTTTATTGCACTTCTGAACAGGTTGATTTTGGGACTTGTTTTAATTGTATGTAAATGAGTAGATACTATACGGTCTACAGCAGAGTCCTAGGAAGCCTTAGTATAGTGCTTTATTGAGAAAAGCCACACTCCAGACAGACAAGGTGCCTGTTTAGAATGGATGCAGTGTGAATACTTTACTTCCCAGTTCCCAATGATAAATAAAATTTCAGACTGGAAGGTATCCTGCCTGCCTCTTTTCTCAAGAGGAATACTTGTCAGCATGTTCAGCACTCCGCTACAGTGAAGTAGAGGCGTGAAGTTCACCTCCTGCTTACAGCATTGAAGTATGGCACTGTTAAATCAAAACTAAATTTAACTACTTAAAATATTTAGCAGTAGCACTCTTAATGCTAGAGGTGGACACTTTGTCCTTTTTATTTTTTAATTGATTTAATTTTTTGGACTTGCTGGAAAATGCAACTTGGTTTGTTTGCTTTGTTCATTATTGTTTTTCCTGTGGGATACCATGGGGGCTTTACTGCTAGATGTGAGTGAAGTAAACTGAGGTGATTGTGCAGCATTTGTGCTGACAGGTCTCTTGTTTCAAAACACTTACATACTTTGAGAAGGTTGAGAGTTGCAGTTATGTGAGCCCATAGTTAGAATGAATTTTCTTCGCTGACACATGACCTTCATATGAAGCTTTTGGAGATAAAGTTTGGAGAACGTGAAACAATTAATTTTTTAGATACTGCCAAATAAGCTTATTGTAGGTATAATAAAAAGCAATATTAAATTGTACAGGAAAAAGAGATTATGTCATGTCTTCTTTCTTCTCTTTCACCTCCTACAGTTTGATTTAGACTCTATTTGGACGTTCATATTTGGAGTTCCTGCCTCCTGTGGCACTGTTACCTCTTCAATACACAGTGTTTGCACAGAAGCTGCCTTCTTGTTATTGGGAATGCTGAGGAGCATGCTGAATTCCGTAAGCATGAAAAAATTTGTTCTTATTTATTAGAAAAGTTGAAGCTTTGTTAGTGTCACAACAAACCCAGCTGTGAGTTAGGCTCATAATACTTGCGTGAAAACCATCATTGCCAGTGGGTTCTTTTATCTTACTTTATTTTTCAGTGTCTGTGGAAATATTAGTGGCCACAAAATTAATGCTGCTTTTTCACAAAAAGGCTGGGCTTTGTGTTTTGCTGCAATTAAAACAAGAAAGCAGAAGAATAAAATACCCTTGGCAGAGATCATTCAATTTCTTTCCTGATTAACATCATGGGGGAATGTTTGAGACTCTATATCCCATCTGCTTAGAGCTATGCGAGTTGCAGATTTTGTGCATGAACTTTCCACATGCAGAGAAGTCCCCTGACTATTAATAGCCACATACTGGAGGAAATTAATTTACTGCCAGAAAAACATGTTGTCTTCTCCTCTTTGAATCTGATGTCAAGAGTAGTGAAAGTTGGTTTCTCAGTGGGAAAATCTTGTATTTCCTTGGAGCCACACTGTGTTATCTGCTGAAAATTATCTCATGAAATGTTTGAAAAGCAGCACCTGTTCGGTTGTTGCCTGTTGGTCATCATGTGTTTGCAATATGCTCTGAGAAGCATTGCTTGCATAGCTCGCCCATGTTAACATGTTCAGAGATGTCTTCTGGGCATGTGTACTGGTTACGTGTTCCATCTCTTGCTGGTGACCTCTTCTGTCGTGTGTTTGGTCCTCACGTGTTTGGACACATTTGTGATGTGCTCAGAGATATGTGCCGTCTCGTGCCTTGCTGTCTTGTGCTCTGTCATCAGGTGTAAGTTCAGATGTGCCATCACATTTTGGGTTCACATGAGTCAGGTCATGTTTACCAATGTGTTTTGAATCATTACATTTTAGGACATATGTTTTGTCTTCTGGTCAGTCATGTGTTGTAAACGTGGTCAGTCTCCTGTTTGTGAGGTGCTCAAACACATGCTAAGGCATCGGTTACTGTCCCGTGTTAGGCTGCTGTGTGGTACTGCTGTGGGTTTATCACATGTTCAGTCACGTGTCTGGTTATGTTCCATCATGTTGTTGCGACTTATTCCAGCCTGGTTTATCACGACATGTCCTGTTGTAATGTTTGTCATGTTCAGCTACGTGTTTCTCATGCATTTATGATGTGGTGACATGCTGCCATGTCACATGTTTGTGATGGCTTGGACACATGTTCTCTTATCACATGTTCTGTTGTCACCTGTGGCAGGCACAGGGTTTAGACTTGTGGTTTATGTGTTTGTTGGAAGCTTGGTGGCTTGTTCAGTTGGCACACATTCTGGAGGTGTTCATCGTATGGTGACATGCTCAGACATTAGTTCTGTCACAGTGGGTCAGGTTTGTCATATGTTGATGATGTGCTCCTTTTCTGTCACTTGTTTGATCGGATATTAGGTCATGTGTTTGGACACTGTGTCTTCAGTCATGTGTTTTAGACACACGTTTGGTCTGACAAGTGCTCCAACACACATTTGACATGTCTCAATGTGTTTTTCTCACTTGGTCATGTGCTTGGCCACGTGTTCAGTCACTTACTTCTGCTCTGCTTGAACAAGTGCTGGTCCGCATGGCTGGTCACATTTGGCCCCATCATTGATCCTGTATCCCGGTTCCATGTTTCATTGCACGTTTGACAGTGTGTTTGATTGCATATTTGACCCTACAGGTCCTCTTCCTGCAGCTCCTTTCTGAAATGAGCATTCTTCAATTAGTGCCATCTGTGCTAATGTGCTGTTTGTTTTTCAACCCAGCCTTGGCAGTCGGAGGAAGAAGGCTCTTGGCTTCGAGAATATCCAGTCACCTTGATGCAGTTCTTTCGGTATTTGTATCACAATGTGCCAGACCTCATTTCCTTGTGGATGAGTCCAGAGTTCCTGTGCGCGCTGGCAGCAACGGTGTTTCCTTTCAACATACGACCTTACTCTGAGATGGTAGGAAATCCAACTAGTTAGCTGTTTTGTTTTGCCCCTGAATATTGCTTTTAAGGATTTATCAATTAACTGTCATACAAACGTAAAGCTCTTGTTACCCTGCAGAAAGAGGATGTTGTAAACGCTGGGCTGGGCATTTTGTACTTGAGTTTTGGAACTGAGCAGACTGCATGTTCAACTGAAGGGCAGTTGCTGTGCAGTGACATCTGAAGCTGCATTTTAGGGTGAATGTACATGGTTTATTTGTTTTCTAGTAGACCACTATTTTCAATCATATGAATGATGTTACCTCAGATGTACAAAAGCAAAGGAGACCGAGTCAGCCTATGCTTTCAGCCCTCTGCTCTCGAGCATGTGATAAAATCTAAAACTTCTTTTTTTTCTCCCACTTATTATTTCTTTTGTAGCTTAACCAGAAAACAGTGTTCTTGTATTACCTGCAACTGCTGAGTTCAAGGCAGGAGAGGATGTGAATGCAACTTTGCTTGCATTGCTGCCTGAAATATTCTTTGAGCTTAGTGTTATTTACGAATCATACTATTTCTAGAATATGAATGGAAAGGAAACAAACAGTTATTGTTAGCCAACATCTAAAAGTAATTTTACTATGAACATGGAAGGATAGTTAGGGTACAGGTTGGCAAATACTTAGTGGTGACATGCTACCTTTTTGTTGTCAATAAAAGCAGGAGATGAATTTTTAAAGGTGCGTGCTGATGAGTCTCATAAGGATAGTTTATTTTGCTTTTAAGTTAAATTTACACTTGAAGCAGATGCTAGGAGCTCTCTTGCTTTCTGTCTCTCAAAAAAAGGTACCACTTACAAACTGGTAATGCTGATTTGGCATTCACCTGCATAGAGTTTTTAGAGTTTTTCTGTGTCTCTGAGCAGGTTTTGCTTTAACTACTAGGTCCCTTGAAACTCTGTGTAGCTGCCTGGCAGCTTGAGCTCTTTGCTGTTGGAGGGGTCTCTTGACTCCTAATTGGTTTACGCCTCCAGCATTTCCCTCTGCCCAAATGTGCAGAGCTGATCAGTCCCTTGTGAAATAGATGAATAACAGCCAGATTCTCACAACAAAACACTACAACCCAAATTCAGCCTTGAGAGAAAATTCTGAACTGATTTTTCAGCCTTTCTGACATTGCCATTAAACCTAGAAAGAGTACACGTTCAGGCTTCTCTTCATTTCTTGGTAAAACTCTCCTACTGAAGCAGACCAAATGTTCAAAACATTTGGTTACTTCACATGTAAGCTGGTGATGCGATAAGCCTGTCGAGGGAAATCATATTGTCTCCTCTTGCATTTGGAGGAGGGTGTTACATGAAAACAGTCAGTCTTTTGGATTTGACAGCTTTCGTTACTGTTTGCACATTTATTACAGTCCTCTTTAAGAGGTAGCCCCTCAAAGGTTCTTGTTTGTCAGAAACAGGAAAGCTGTAGAGACTCTGTTTTTTGGGTTATTTGGGGTTTTTTAAGAGATTTTTGGGAAACTGGCTTACCTATAACTGCACTCTGATCAAGGTATCGTATTGAAAAAAGAAAAGGCTCAGTTCCTTTTTTGTTTCCTGTCATGAAAGCTTGATAGCCTAGCTCATGTAACTCATGCCAGTCTTCACTGGTTATCGTTTGCCTTGGGATTCTGAAAGTAGAATTTGGCTGTTTCTTCTGTTGTGTATTAGGGAACTGATCCTGAATACAATAATCTTCGAAAAAGGCTCCTTAAGAAGCAAAATGTGAAGTGAATAGCCTTCAAAAGACAAGTAAAGAATAGAGTAGTGAAAAGATTGCTGTTAATTTGCTGATCTCTAGAGTTTTAACATGCTGTTTTTCACAGGTCACTGATCTTGATGATGAAGTTGGGTCCCCAGCTGAAGAGTTTAAAGCCTTTGCAGCTGATTCTGGCATGAACAGGAGCCAATCAGAATACTGCAATGTTGGCACCAAGACATACCTAACCAACCATCCTGCCAAGAAGTTTGTGTTTGACTTCATGCGTGTGCTTATAATTGATAACTTATGTCTCACACCAGCCAGCAAACAGACTCCCCTGGTGGATCTTCTGCTAGAGGTACCGTTTCTTTGGGTTTTGAGGGTTTTTTTGGTTTTGTTATTTGAATTTCTTGTGACACCTTATTCCCTAAAATGTTTTTCTCTACTTACCTTTTGAAGTTAGAGGAGTGATGACCTGGGATTCAGTAGAATCCTGTAAATTGTCATGAACTAAGGGGCCGGGGGGTGAAGGAACACTAGTGTCTCATAAATAGTAGTTTGCTCACCTTTCTTTAACAGCTTAGAAAACCTAAGAAAGCACATGCAGAGGGTTTATCTCAGCCTTCCTTTGAGAATGTTTTCTGGACGACTTCTCCCTGCTCCTCTCAGCATTTGTGTGTATTGGTGACCATCTCGGGTGCTTGAGCTGACAGTCTGCCTGCTGGTTACCTGCCCTTCTTCTTGCTGTGCCCTCTTCTCCCCTCCACACCGCAGCCCTACTACTGCTTTTGTTTGTGGACTCCTTTGCTTTCATTTGGCCAGTTAAATGGCTCTGTTAGTTGCTGAGCACACGGTCTCAATGTTTTATTTCTATTTTGTCCTCACTTTAGAGCAGCCATAATCTTGTTTTGGCATCCTAGCCAATACCTCCTTTTGTCTCGAAACACAGGTAGTGGATCACAACACTAGATGTTCAACAGTGCAGCATGAGAAGTTGGAGCTTTCTTCAAGTTTTATTTTTGTGGAGTATGATTCATTTGTTAAACACCTTTCAGACCATGACAGCTGTATTGGCTTTGTTGAAAATATAAAATCCCTGCAGAAATACTAAGGTTTCTGTTTTATTCATATTAAATAAAAAGAAGTGGGAGGACATACTGCACCATATGCTATGAAAGTTCACAAAATAACTGTGTTATCTTCCTGTAAGTTATCCTTTAAAGTTCACGACACCTGCAGAAAGCATCCTTCTTGTTAATGGTGAGGCAGGGAATAAAGAGTTCAGTTACTGTTTAACTGCCCACACCTTCTTCAGACAATGTATTTTGAAATGTTCAATTCATCTCAATTCACATTCTTCCTTGACCTACCGATTTGTTACCTCATCTATGTCTTGCTGAGTCTCCCTGATTTTTTTGATAGCTGCAGGAATTTTTGGACCATGCTTGTGTATTTCCTAACAAATTTCCAGGGGCAGTTGGGCATCTCTTTGCTGTCACAAAGCAAAAACTGAATTGTTCAGAGTCACAGTTATATGCAAACATCAGGAAGCATTTTTGAAGCCATGTTCAATTGGCTGCAGTTGCTTTACTGCTGTTTCAATCTGTTATCGCTCATTAGTATTACTGGCCCCTTAGCATAAACAGCGAATTGGGTATGTACACAGTGCTAAACTGTTACAGGGCAAGACAAAGCAGGTTGACTTAATGTTATATTGCTTTCTAGGACTGTTTAAGTGACTCATTCAGTTAGGTATGATGATGTATGTACTGAACAACACAAGGTGATAAAGTGATTTTCCCCTTCTAAGTGCAAAGGAAATGAGAAAGGTTTAGCATGTTCCATCTATTATATGAGTATACCAAGGCTGCTGTAGTAATATACAGAACCACACATAGAAGTGATGATCAGCTTGCATATTTGATGAGTCCCATTTACTCATTTTTTACTGAAGAAGGTAACTTTGTGAACTGAGGAGATCACAGTTTAACCATATGTTTTAGTTAGATTTGTTCACCTTTTCGGAATGTGTTCTTTTCCAGTTGCTATTATGGCAGGAGATAAATTTACTGGATTTAAATAGGAATAATGTAGGACTGGATAAAGCCAATGTATACTCGACGTGCATTCTTAAATTTTTTGATAAAGCCAAGACTTTTTACTTGAGACAGAATGTTAAGAGAAAAATAACATAGTTCACGAGAGCTGAGAAAAGAGAAATTCACCTGGAACACCCTCCCCTTCCCTCTTTTTGCTCACTCAGAGACATTCATTATGTTCACACTGTCTTTCTTTTATCAGGCTTCCCCTGAAAGATCGACACGAACACAGCAGAAGGAGTTTCAGACGTACGTTTTGGATGGAGTGATGGACCACTTACTTGCAGCTGATGTTTTATTGGGTAACATAGCAAAGTTTAATCATCAATCTATTGATTTGAACAAAAGGTTTTGATTATTTAACTTTTTCTTTATTAGTACCCTGTTTTGTTACAACTTAATTGTCTTTTTTTTTTTTCCCCCTGCCCTTTCCTTTCCTTTGATCTGTAAATAGTGTTGCTGTGCTTGTATATTCCCTCTCTATCTTGATTGTGCCAAAGCTGTAAAATACACTATTCAAAAAACCTGTATGGCATGAATCTTTAGGATATGTAAGCCAGACAAATTGCAGTCACATCAGAAAGAGCTGAAACTGGATCTTGCATCACCTCTCTTGTCCTTCTTGCCTTGGTAGAGGATCTGGAGCTTTTGTCAGTTTATCACCAGTGGGACTTTGGTTTTTAGAAGTTAGCTTTGTTTCCATTTCCTCCTACTCTAGGTTTATTATGAATACAGCACCCCAGAAAAAAATGCTGTGATTAGCACTCCATTGATCCAGTTAATAAATGGACAGAAAGAGAATTAGAAGCTTGTAAATTGGATGTCAGTAGGGTCGGCTGTCCCACCAGAGCATGGGTTTAGATGATTGTGAAGTGGCCTGTAGGAATATCGCTGCTGATGTGCCCAGTTGGATATCACAGTGGCCTGCTAGACTTCCCAGGAGCTCTCGGTCTGTTCTGTCTCCATCCTCGACGTCATGGGGCAGCATGCGTTTCTGTTCAAAAGTGCTTGTAAGGCTCACCCTTTCTTGCCGTAGCAATGATTTGTCTTTCTCTGGGTGCAGTGCATTAATGAAAGAAATCCAGACTCGTGTTACATTGAAGCTTTGGGTCAGGTTCTCAGAAGAGTCTCCTGCCCTTACAAGTACTTCTGTGCAGCCCAGGAGCAGGATTTTGGTTTCCCCAGGCATTTGTTCTTTGAGGTTTTGCCAGCTTCCTCCAGGTGCAATGCTATCACTTGCTTTGTGTGCAGATGAGGCGACAAGTGAATAAATGCAGGTGAACTTCCAGCAAAATCAACATCATTGATTTATTTTTTTATTTTTTTTTCCCCCCTCTTTTATGGAAGTACGTGCCCTTCTTTCAAGCTTCTGTTAATATAGCTGGACTGACATTTACGTACACGCAGACACATGCAGCTGATGCCCTTTGACTCCCAGTTTTATGGAGTGAAGCACAGTGAGGGAGAAGTGGTCCCAGCTGATATCACTTGTCATCTCAAGGTGTTTTAAAAAGATTCTTTTCTTTTTGAAAAAGCAAAAGTATAATTTAAAAAAAGCTATAGGGGTGTCTGCACACGTGCAGCTCCAGTTGAAAAGGATGACTCTACATAAATATGATGCCTTGGGATCACAGGAGTACCATTTCTTCTGGACTCTTCCTGCCCCAGCCCCCCCTTTTTTGATCTTGGTCACCGTCGATTTCAAACATTCGCCTACCACCAGAGGTCATTGCAGGGAAACCATGAGGTTTTACCTTTTTCTTTGACCGAGTCTTTTTCTCTTTTTACAGAAGTCTAGAAAGCACAGACTAATATGAATGTATTTATGCAGTTGTGGGCTTTTTTGATAAATGAAGAAAACTTTTGGGTTCTTTGTTACCTAGGTGAAGATGCATCTCTGCCTATAACGAGTGGAGGAAGCTACCAAGTGCTGGTGAACAATGTGTTTTATTTTACTCAGCGTGTGGTAGATAAGCTTTGGCAGGGCATGTTCAACAAAGAATCCAAACTTCTTGTGGACTTCATAATCCAGCTTATTGCACAGGTAACAGTAGTGTTCTATTAACCTGCTTGTGAAAACATTTTCACAGGTTACATTAAAATCCATGGAGTGATGTCACTAAGCAACCTACTAGTGACGCATATCAGGTCAGCAGAGAGGTATGTTTTTCTTCGCCAGGCTTCCTCTCTCTTTACTGAGCTTTCCTAGCACATCTTGTCAGTGTGGAGTGCTTTAATATGGGGCGGTTGAGTAAAAACTGCTTTCAGATGACATGATTTTTTTAGAAATCCCCCAAAATAAACAATGAAGTTTACTTTGCGTGAATTTTGGGAAGCTTCCTAAATTTTCCTTGACGTTTTTGGGAAGCTTCCTCATGTACTTTTATTGGAGATTGTTAGAAGACTTTTACTGTTAGAAATCAGCAGCATGTTTATAGATGTTAAAATTATAAGTGTATCATCATGTATTAATGTCATTTCGGTCCTTGAAATTCATGGAATTGACGCTTTTAGTAAAACAGCGGTTTTGAAAAATGAGCATGGGTCAATTCAGGGCAAGATTGTGTGCCAGTAAATTGATTTTCTGCTACTATCTGATCATGTTTTTTTACTTCACATCAGTCAAAAAGAAGATCTCAGGGACTATCGCTGGATGCTATTTATCACTGCTTGAACAGGACCATCTTGTATCAGTTCTCAAGGGCACACAAAACTGTTCCTCAGCAAGTGGCTCTCCTTGATTCCCTAAGGGTCCTTACTGTGAACAGAAACTTAATTTTGGGACCTGGAAATCATGATCAAGAGTTCATCAGCTGCCTAGCTCACTGCTTGATTAATCTGCACATGGGAAGGTAAATATTTCAGACAGAAGTTCATTCCAGAACCAGGGCTGTGAAGTATTAAAATGACCTGTTCTCTCTCTGCAATGACACTCACCTTGTGCACAAGTCAGCAAATTCTGGATAACTGATGGTAACTTTCCAGCCAGTGAAATGCAAGCAAGCTTAAGTGACTCATTTTGAAATAAAATAAGGTTTGAAGAGCCCGCGTATAGAGAACATTTTCACCTCCTTTTACAGGGGTATTTTAAAATACTGATACAAGTGCTTATCTAACCATTTTGTTGTTAGGCTTTGATAATTTGAAATGTTTTCAAGGTAGAAAGAAACACTCGTGCTAAGTGATTAACAGTCAGTGGGATCTGCCACTAGATTTAATGTCTATTGAATCATTTCATGCAAATTCTGTATCTTAGTACTTGAACGTATAACATTGAATAACTCCAGTCAGGCATTAAATCAGATGCCTGTGACAAATGCTGTAGACACCTACTTCTCTGCATTGCTGCACATGCCTGCCTGGCATTTTCATTTTTTCTTTCCAAAAAGATGTACAACTTGTGTTTCATCCAAAGATACTTGGGAAGCATCAGAAGCAGAAACCCTAATGTTCTCCATTTGTGGCCTCGTTCTTCAAATATTACCATCTTCCTCTAGACATCAGTGTCCATGGCGTGTCATTTTTCATAAACCTTCAGTTCAACTTGTGACTGCAGATTGTCAGAACTGAAGTGGACAGAAGTGAAGATACGTTGCTGTAGTAGCATGTATTAATCTTTGTGATACTGTCACAGGGAATCAAATGCTTTAGCTTGGGTTTTTATGGTTTTTTTCTCATTGTTGTTAATTCATTGTGTATTTGTAGCAACGTTGATGGGTTTGGATTGGAAGCAGAAGCCCGGATGACAACTTGGCACATTATGATCCCCTCTGATATAGAACCAGATGGAGTCTACAATCAAGATGTTAGCGAAGGTAATCTGAGAGTGACAAAGCCACAGATGTCTGCTAATGCCACTTCTGTATTGTCATCACTAATATTTTACCCCAGTTACTCTTCGGGCTGGGAGTGTGTGTGGGATGGGTGTGTGTATAAAAATATATTAAAAAATAGATGAAAAAACACTTAGAAATACCAAGACCGACATATCCAGGATAAGCGACTGTTTTGTTAAAATAGCAAGAGCTCTTCATTGTTTTCTGGACACACACTAGAATTAGAAATATTGCTTATATGCACTGAGTTGAATGCAGAAGAAATGGGTCATTTTAAGTGTGTACCATGGTTTTGTATCAGCTGGATCTTACATGATCATAGGTAGGAAATATATAAACTGTAAAACTATTATTTGATGGCATCCTCAGGATCTTCCCCTCACAGGAAATTTATGAACTAGCTGTGGAAGAAAGGATTCAGTTAATTATTTTTTTTCTTCTTACATGTATATATTTAATGTTTATGCAGATGTATACTTATGCACACAGTCATATGTAAAAATATTAAAATGTAATGTATGTATGGAATTATATGTTTTTATAGACATATACCTCTATGAGATTTTTTTTGAATCTCATTTTATTAATAGATGGATTTGGGAGAAGAATCACAACTAATCAGAGTTAACTGTTCGATACTTTCTGATAGCATATAAATGGCAAAAAAAGACAGTTTGGCCAAAGCCATTTCACAAGTCATGCTAGAGGGGAAGAAACTAGAATATAATTGCAGAAATTATTCGGTTCACTACTGTAAAAATACTAGTTCTATAAGCACCGTAAAGAGCTTACTGTCTGTGATCTCATACCTACGCAGGTCGCCAACTTCTTTTAAAAGCCATAAACAGAGTGTGGACAGAGCTGATCCATAGTAAAAAACAGGTTTTAGAAGAAGTTTTCAAAGTGACGCTACCTGTCAATGATCGTGGCCAAGTGGATATAACTGTTGCAAGACCCTTTATTGAGGAAGCAAGTTTAAAGTGTTGGCAAAATCATTTGGGTAAGTATAACTGAGGATTTATCTGTCCTGAATGGTAGATTTCACTGAATTGAACCCGTATGCCCTGGATGTTTTAATAGGGGCTTAGCTTTTGTGTAGCAGTAGGTACCCTAAACTCTCACCATTTAACATCTGTCATTCAGTGACTGTACCATGTGTAGGATATATACTTACACTCCACTGCACACAGGCTTTTGTTCAATGCTGTCAGTGATCTCAACAATGTCCTGTGTTTGTGAGTGAGCATGCACCAAGTAGCGTATTGTGGATTACAGCGATGGAGTCCTTTAGCCCCTTCCCATGAACACCCAGATGGGGGTGACCTGTGTTACTGTTCCCAGGACTGGATGTGCCAGGCAGGGAGGGGGGACGCCTCTTGAGTAGGTCTGGATGCAGCTTGCAAACTCTCAGTCTGGTGATAACGATTGGAAATGTGGGACTGAGAAGTCCTTCTCTAGCAGCAGTGATACTATGACTTCTCCTTTTTGGCTGGGAAATCTGTTCAGCATAGGAAGCAGCTTTGCAGGAAAAGGACCTGAGAATCCTGGGGGACAAGAAGTTATGCACAAGTTAGCTCTGTGCCCGTGTAATAAAGCAAGCCAACTGTTGCTGGACTAAATTAGCAAGAGCTTAGGTGGCAAGATAGTAAAATTCCATAGACATGACTCTTGTGATGATTACACGCTCTAAAGTGATTGAGTTTGACCTGGGTGTACAGAAAGCATTTTTGGAAGCTTGGAATACTCGTTTTTGCAGTCTCTGTATTTCTAGATGTGCTTTGTCCCTGGCTGATGTTTGCTGAAGTTTCCAGTATCTCCCAGATAGTTGGTATATTTGCAGAAATGTTTTGAGTAGAGTGAAGGATCTTTGGAGAAATTATTGCTATAAGAAAGTAGTAGTGGTTTTAAAAGAACAAAAAGAAAGCTCAGAGGTGGAGTGAATTAAAGAAACAGTGAGGAGCATAAGCATGTACTTTCTACATCACAGGTAACTGATATACAGTACAGTCCATTAGCTGAATATCGGGAGAACGTTAAACTGTTGAGAGAGTTGAACTAAACTGTGATTTATTTTTAGAGTTTTAAAGTAAGCACACCAGCCTTGTGGACTTGACTATCAGCAGGGATGGCTGTATGTCCACAAAAAGGTGCAGTAGGCCCACCTAGCTTCTCCGCTCAATACAGAGCATTTTGCTGCCAGATTGGTTAGTGGGGTCATGTTGTAGCTCCTTTTTGGTTAGAGATACGGTGCTCAGCTGCATTTTTTTCCGCTAGTATCTACTGCTTCTAACATAAACAATATAAATTCTGTTATCTTTGTAACTGTTTTGAGAAAAAAAATACTTCTCAAGACGCCGTCTCCCTTCTTTGGAATGCCCACTTGTTCTTTAAGGGATGTCAATCAGCAAAATTAAAGTTGGTGGGGTAGAGGGAGGCTAGGTGATGATTTTGTTTATACATAGCTGGTTTTCACCTCTTCAGATGAGGAAAGAATTAATAGCTCATAGACCCCAATTTTGATAGTTGATAAAAGCGGTAACAAATCTGTTTGCCATGCTTCATGTCAAAATTCAAGCAATTCCCAGGTTCCACCTAGAGATCTATCCTTATACGAGTCATGAATGTTTGATATGAATGTGTGCGCTGCTGGGCTCTCTTAAAAACAAACAAGCAACAACAGAAACCCCTGAACAAACAAAAAGACACCCACCAACACACACAAAACCCCTAATCCCCAAAACACTCACCTTTTAAAACTGCAGAAAAGATTGTTCTATTTAAAAAAAACAACTATAATGAGGAGAGGAAAAAAATAACACCTATGAAGTGCTCCCAACACTTTCTTTTTGTTTTTCAGCTCATGAGAAGAAATGCATCAGTAGAGGGGAGGCTTTGGTTCCAACCACGCAGTCCAAACTTTCACGAGTTAGCAGTGGATTCGGCCTCTCTAAACTAACAGGTTCCAGGAGAAGCCGCAAGGAGAGTGGGCTCAATAAACACAACCTCTCTACACAGGTAATTTCTGTCAATAACACGCAGTCTAAAAATCCAGCAATGTATATTCAGGGTTTGTGGTAAGTATCTCAATGTAAGGAATCCTGCAGAGTGTGAAGTGATACCTTGTGCTTGGTTTTCTTTCCCCTTTTTCAATATCCAGACTGGGCATGTTGCTTCTCTGTGTCCTAATCTAGTAGGTGCATCTGCACATCTGTAACATTTAAGCCAAGAGTTAAACTCTTTGTCGTTAGGGAGACTGCTGAGCTGCTTCTGGTTACATACGTGCTTTACTGCTTTGCTAATCTGGGCCTGTAATTCAGTTGGCAATACTGCTCTGAAATGGAAGCTGTGAGATGCTTGTCCTTTTTTCCATCCTGCCCCCAGGATTATGTGGTTTAGGAAAATCCCTATGTGAGCATGTATGTATCACAACTAAACAAATGCTGCTTTGTACTGCTTTTATTGTACTATAGAGAAGAGTTCGGCAAAATAATACATGATAGTAGAACTGGACATTCACTTTACAAACCAGGTTGCTTAAAAAAAAATAATAATATGTAAAAAGAAAGTTAGACTAGAGTAGTACAGCAGTGGTGCTCTCAGTAGGACGGTACCTGGTGGGGCACTGCAAGGAGTTGTATAAAGTATCTGAGTTGTTGAAAACAAAGGAAAGGGAGAGGTTTGAAATTTTTGGAGTATTTAGCACTTGGAACACTGGGGGCATGTTGGGCCAAGGAGGGCAGGTGTATTCCTGCCACAAGGAAATGTGTAACACCTATTGACTTAATCAGGAGTTTGTCTCCTGTGGAAAAAAATACATTGCCGGTTCTCTTTCTAATCTGAAAATTACTCAGTGGCTTTGATAAAATAAAGAATTCTCCGTGCTCTCAGTCCTTTTCCTGGTGAGCGGACATACACATTAAAACGAAAAGGAAGAAGCTCACAAACTGAGCTGACAGGAACCGTTGCTGGCTGTATCAGTAGAGGGAGCAGTAAGTGAAAACAGGTGTATTGCGTACCGAGTGAGGCAGTGCTGGGTGTCTGGAGGATTTCCAACAAACTAGGCGGCATCCACAAAATATTCCTTAAAAGGAAATAGAGAAAAAGTAGTAATATTTGTCAGTGCTGATCTTTGGCTGTTTGGGAATGTTCTGAAGTCTTAGTCATGTGTTTGGAATATTTTCCAAATGTTTGCCAGTTTCTCTTAAAGGATATTCCTATACATTAAAAGAAAAAAAAAAAAAAAGAAAAACACACACACAAAAAAAAGAGGAGAAAACACCAAGAAAACAAAACTTTAAATACTGTTGCATGCAGTAGTTTGAAATTCATCATCTCAGTAATTTATTTTTTTTTTTAAGAAACTATCCTTTGTGAGCAAGTTTAGCAAGGTGATGTATTCATGGACTTCTCATTCAAAAAAAATATTCTTTTATAAAGTGTCATTCTGTCTGTCCTCTTGCCTTTGTATTAGGAAATTTCCCAGTGGATGTTTACTCACATTGCGGTGGTTCGGGACCTGGTTGATATGCAGTATAAAGAATATCAGGAGGTATGGTTCAGAGGATTAATTTCCTGATACTGATATTTTGACTTGTTAGGTTATACCAATTCCCATTTTTTAGTACGGAGCTTGGAAAATACTGGGTTATCATTGGTGAAATGCTTGAATGTTTAGATACAGTTGTTATTTTAAAAGATTTTTAAAATGCAATCAAATAAACAAATGAGGAAACTCATTTTGATCTGGTGGTAGATGAAAACTCTTGTAGCAATATTACATGTCAAGACTTAATTTATTTCAAGAAACTTTAGTCTTTCCATAGTGTAAAAAAAAAAAAAAAAAAAGGAAAAAAGAGAAATATTGGAAATATGCTAGAATATGCTGTCTTTCTAAAACATTGTACAAAAAATTAAGAGAAGATGCAGAGAAACATTGTGTACAAACACTTATTTTTATAGTAACACAAAGAAAATTTTATGGTACCTTTCCCAAATCATGCAGCGATAGAAAGTGGCTGCTCTGTGCACCCTGAGGTTTCTTCCAAACATCCCCAAAGACCTTTAGTTCAAACTAGTTGCTGAGCTGTGTGCTATAAATCTTAAAAAATCGTCTTCCAAGAGAAACGAGTCATTGAAAGCAATTAGTTAAAAATAAAAACAACCACCAAGTGTTGCTTTGTGTAACTTCTCTCTCCAGTGTAAATACAGGCAAGGAAGGCCTCTAAAACAATTTTTGCTTTCATTCTTAAAATCTGTTTTCAAAATCAGTGGATTAGTGCTACCTTTCTTTCATATTTGCCATTTAGAAATAAATTCAATTAACAATGCAAAATAAAAGCAGAGCTTTTACCTTCTTTTTTTTCCTTTTTTGTTGAGAAGATTACAATATGAACCCTGCTTTTATGGTAACTGACACTGGAAATCTCATTAAGATGTACTAGAAAATGTTACTAGAATTATGAATTATTGCACATTTTTCTGTAATGTAGTGAAAACGTCTCTGCGCACATCAGAGATAGGCTTAAAAGTATCATTCCTGATGCTTATACAAATGTCTTTGTATTCAGCGTCAGCAGAATGCATTAAAATACGTGACAGAAGAGTGGTCTCAAATCGAATATGAGTTACTACGAGAGCGAGGTTTGTGGGGTCCCCCCATTGGCTCCCATCTTGACAAGTGGATGTTGGAGATGACGGAGGGTCCCTGCAGAATGAGGAAAAAGATGGTGCGAAATGACATGTTTTATATTCAATATCCCTACATGCCTGAAGCTGAGCAAGAAACAAACTTGCTGGTAAGTAATCAAGATTTTGTGATGAGTAATTTTATGCCCTGTTGTAAAATCCATATTTTTTACTAAGTTTTTCTTAAGAAACATATTTTACTGGATTGGTGTTACCTGGTATTCTGTCTATATGTCTTAAATGGTTGGCAAGGTCCAGTTTCCTCATAGTATATTTAGGGAAGGGACTGAATCGGCTCAAAACTAAGTGCATTTGAAGACTAGCTATTGTAACATAAGGTGAGGTATGCTTGCATCAGCTAAGTGCTCATGACAGTGAACAGCAGAGGCATCTTCACAAGCCTGTAGAGGCTGAGAAGTACCACAGTGTGGTGGTTTAACCCCAGCTGGCAACTAAGCCCCACTCAGCTGCTCACTCAATCCCCCCCACGGTGGGATGGGGGAGAGAATCGGGAGGGTCAAAGTAAGAAAACTCATGGGTTGAGATAAAAACAGTTTAATAGGTAACGCAACAACCACGCATGCAAGCAAAGCAAAAGAAGGAATTAATTCCCCAGTTCCCCTGGGCAGGCCGGTGTTCAGCCATCTCCAGGAAAGCAGGGCTCCATCACATGTGATGGAGACTTGGGAAGAGAAACACCATCGCTCCGAGTGTCTCCTCCTTCCTCCTTCTTCCCCCAGCTCTATACGCTGAGCATGACGTCATACGGTATGGGATATCCCTGGGGTCACCGGAGTCAGCTGTCCCAGCTGTGTCCCCTCCCAACTCCTTGTGCCCCCCCAGCCCCCTCGCTGGTGGGGTGGGGTGAGAGGCAGACAAGGCCTTGGCTCTGGGTAAGCCCTGCTCAGCGACAGCTAAAACATCCCTGAGTTATCGGCACTGTTTCCAGCACAAATCCAAAACACAGCCCCATACCAGCTACTAGGAAGAAAATTAACTCTACCCCAGCTGAAACTAGCACACATAACTATGGGAGGTTTCAGTCTGAGTTCTTGGCCTTATGCTAGATAATGCGGTAAACAGGGATCTGAGGGGGGAAAAAAAACCAAACCCCAAACCAGGCTGTGGGCCTTGGTTTGGGTGTGTTTGTGAAATGTACTTTCATCTGTCTGCGAATATGAACGTGGCTGTGTAGCAGAAATGCACGTGGCCTATGAAAGCTCGGCAGTTCCTGTTCATTTTGGAACACCGTTTTTTAAGAAATGGAGTGGTCTTTATTGTGTCTTTTTAGGCATGTATGTATGCGTGCAGGATTTTTTTCCTCAAATTAAGCATGAGTGTCAGTACTTAAAACAAGCAAACAAAAAATAGCATTCAACTGGTTTTAAACCATTAGGTCCATTTGCTTGCAATTTGACACACAATAGCTGTACTGACAGTCTAATTCGCACAAAGTGGAGAACATGCCATCATACATTCTTCTCAAAAGTGTTCTTTCTCTGATGCTTATATAATTGATGCCCTGTTTTCAGTCTGACTTCTCAAGTAGACTTCCCGAGACACCTGATGATACCATTCCTCAAAAGGTAAAGAAACAAGTACACTGACTGAAAGAATGTGAAAGAAATACAACTTTTTTTCCTCCTGCATGTTAGGCAATCTTAACAAGGCTTCTACGTTTGGCTTTCAACTTGCTCTTTCAGTAAATATTTCCAGGCCTAAAGGGTTTTTTCAGTAATCACGTTAGAAGATGTTACTGTGCTTTCTTCAGCCTTCACCTAATAAAACTTTCTGTAGATCTTACCTTCTTTGCTGCACACTAACAGGCTGTGTTGGGCTGTGCTATCACTGTTCTCACTGTGTGAAGTGGTGTGGCTTTGGGATCTGAACTAATGGTCGGTGCAACATGTTTAGTCATGGGCAACACGATCGCTTGGAAGCACTTATTGGGAAAGTAAGTGTTTCTTTCTAAGAGCGGATCTGGTGAGCAGTTTTTTCTTCTTTTTGGCTTTAATGGGCTGTAACAGGCCTACTTTTGTTAGAACCCAGAGTAGTTTTGTATTAGCCAACTCTTCTAATTTTTACTCTTAATGAAATAGACACATTTGTTCAAAAAATACAAATCCTGCCTTGAAAATTATGGACTTCCTTGGGAAGTGGCTACTCTGCAAGCATTTCAGTATTATGCTGCTTCTCTTTTAATTACATTGCAGTCTTGCCCATCACTAAGTATAATGTGGAATGTGGGTTCACTCATTTAGAATTACATTCAACAATAAACTAGAATACATCTAAACGCAAGTAATTCAGTTATACAGAATATCTAATATAAATTGTTACTATTTTCCTTTGTTCATGTTAGCAGTGCTAGTTAGGATTTAGTTGAACGTAAGTGAGCAAATTAGATCACAGTACCTTAAATTTTTTTATTTTGGGGGCAGTCAATCTGACCTGAAATAATAAATCTCCATGTCACTGATCTTAATCTCTTTGTCATCCCGAGCATCCACTTGTAATAAAGCTAGTTTGATTTTATGGGTCATTTAATTTCCCACTATACTATCCTACAGATCAACAACAACAAAAAAATTTTTAAAATCACATTTTATGTATTTCCAGTTATGACTGCAAAAGTGGACAAGGGAAGATCTTGACTGAAGTGGCAGTGATATTCTACAATTCTACATAATGTAAAGCGTTGTACTGGATTTATAATCATATTTTGTAATTATCCCAAGCTAATTTTGCAATTAATGGAAAATAATGCTACAAACAAACCAAAATTTATTTGTGATGGAGAACTGAACACATTCACAAAGCTTTCTAGAGTTTGAGAGTGGGGTTAAACAGCAGTCAGAGAAGAAAATTTTCAGCCGCAGTATAAAATCAATGGGTTTTCATCCATCCATGTGCATCAATGTGTTTTAATTTCAGAAAAGGCTCTTAGCTCTTTAATACCTCTTTTATCTTTACCTATGTCTTCTATGATCATTCTGACATAGGTATAGTCCTCATTCAGTTCTTACTTCTGTTTCGAATGTTACCTCCATAATCAAGTGAGGAACATAAGAATTAGCCTGTGGTGGGGCATGGAATGCACAAAGGAAAAAATAAAACCAACCAAAAAAACCACACAAAAAAACTCAACAAAACCAACCCCAAACAAAACAAAACCCCCCAAACCAATAAAACACCACACCACCACCATAATGAAATGTATCATAATCTGTTATCATCACCCAAAGGTACAAACGATGCTCGAAGAATTACTTTGGTTAAATGGATACTCTTGTGCCGGTCTCCCACCCACAAGCCATCAGATTCTTTACTAAAAATGAAACAACTGAATTGATGAAGAATTTCTGAGCCTTAAAGCTGGTCCCTGGCTGCTTTTACTTCATATCAAGTTCCACATACCTGTATCTTTCCTTGAGGCGATTTTTTGTTTAAACTATTGCCTAGCGAAGAAGTCAGCTGGCTAACGAGTAAGCTGCGTATGTTGTAGGGAGTAAAGAAAGATGATAAAATGGCCATCTGATCTATCAATCTTAAGCACAAGTATCCCAGCCTTTTGTGACAGTTCATAACATACTGGCCACACTTCTTTTTTTTTTCCCCATGTTGTTAGGTTTACCGGCAGGCATTTCTGCAACCCCCTTATTACCTGAGTGGCCGAATAGCTCCCTTGCAAATTAGCTGACAGGTTAGATTTTCTGAAGAGTGTCTCTTTCTGTGTGGGTCGGTGTATGACTGAGCACGCACAAAATACTTCATGGGCACATGCTGTGCTGCACACAGTATGCCTGAAAGACGTTTGCTGAAGTGAGTGAGGTGTTGATTGACCAAGCAATTTCTTTAATTATCTCTAAGAAACCTGCTCGTTACCGAAGAGCTGTAAGTTATGACAGTAAGGAGTACTACATGCGTCTGGCATCTGGAAACCCTGCAGTCTTTCAGGATGCTATAGAAGAGCATACAGTGGGTGAAACAACTCAGCAGGAGCCAGAACACGGGGAGGACACTATTGCAAGAGTCAAAGGTTAGATCACTTGTTCTGTCCTTGAACTGTTTTCTTGAAATTTATCTGCCTTTATATCTTCTCATGCATTTGCATTAAGATAAGCATGCGGATCCCATAGGACTCCTGTTTTTCTGTCTTAGCACTGGATCAATAATTTCAACATTCAGTAGGTTTTGCAAAGTTAATTTTTTGTGTGTCAGGTTTTTATTTATCTCTCTCTGTTCTTCTTTTCCAGGCCTGGTGAAGCCTCCCCTGAAACGATCTCGCTCTGCTCCTGATGGAGGAGATGATGAGAACCAGGACCAATCGCAGGATCAAATTGTTGAGGGGAGTTCAATTGATGAAGAGGAGAAGACTGACAATACAACTTTGCTTCGACTTCTCGAAGAAGGAGAGAAGGTACTGTGTACTTCAAACACACCAAGCACTTGTGTATTGGAATTTCTCATTACATGTCACAAGCATGAATAAATGACCTAAATACGTTCCCAGATCTACAGCTGAATTTGCTGAATATTTTGTCAGCTTCTTCCTTGAAACCAAATGTGTGCTCTGGAAACCCTGTACTGGAAACATTCTTTCTCGGTCCTTCTGTCTGCTAGGGAAAAAAGAACCTGTCCTGGAATGAAAGCGATGAGCTATCCCATGCTTGGATTATTATTCTGTCAGCTTAATGAGTCCAGACAGAAACTACACATGGAAAATACAAATACTGAACTTGGCAGACTGTCTATAATTAATTGTTCCCTTTGTTAGAATGACAAACCTTGATAACTGGTATTTTATCCCCAAGAACAGTGTTGAATGACCATGCTGCATATTTGGTATTTCAGACTTTGTCTGTCTGAAGTACACCAGTAAATACATTCGTGATCGTAGTCAGGTGGGCTACAGGTTCTAAAATGTGCTCAAGAAGTGTGGTGCAAGTGAGTAAGTTGGTAAATATATAGATCTATGTCATACAGAGGAGACTTTGTTTAATTCCCTTCCCAATTGCTGATGGCAGGTGTTAGAAATATCTCTGATTAAGGGGCAAAACAGCAGAAATTTTGCTGTATCTCCAAGTGATAAAGCAGCATCTGGAACTCATTCTAAGCAAGCAGTGGTCTGAGCCTGAGCTCATTAACCTGCTTTTGCTAAGTGTCTGCTTTTTCGTTACAGATTCAGCATATGTACCGCTGTGCTCGGGTTCAGGGCCTTGACACCAGCGAAGGGCTGCTTCTCTTTGGGAAAGAGCACTTCTATGTCATTGATGGATTTACCATGACAGCCACCAGAGAAATACGGGATATTGAGACACTGCCTCCAAAGTGAGTAGATTAATAGAGTTTCCTCAGTGTTTAATAGCTGAACAAGAAGTATTTAATGAGATTTTTGAGGAGCCAACTCCAAAATAATGTCAGATTCAGAAAGACCTCAGGAGCAGTTTCCTCTGTGCTCACAAATTCCTGAATGTAGTATGGTATATTGTGAAAATCAGCCGTTCTGTAACTGCACTTGCATATGAATTAAAAGAATAATTCTTTTCATATAATGTCTTTTTTAATCACCTCTCTCTTGCCTGTTTATGCTCATTTACAGGATGCATGAGCCAATCATACCTAGGGGAGCAAGGCAAGGTCCAAGTCAACTCAAAAGAACATGCAGCATTTTTGCGTATGAAGATATCAAGGAAGTACATAAAAGGAGATACCTTTTGCAGGTAACTTGGACACCATATTTGGATTGAGGAGCCAACTTTGGAATTTTTTGATGATGCTGCCGTTTTTAAAAAGTAAAATAAATACATCACTGATCAGTATTTGGAAAGTGAAGCTTATTTGCTCTGTTGAAATTGAAGTGCTTAAGTTGGGCATTCTTGTTTGAACATTTGGCTTACCATGGTTTAGTTTCTTGGGTATATTAGTGAATTTCAGTGTTCCAAAAATAAAACATCTGGCTGCACTAAGCAAAGTCTGCTTCGCCATAATTTGGTGTCAGATGTAGTATGGTGTGACTAAACTGGTCTGCGCCTGACCTTCAGAGGTGACGAGCAAGTGTGTTAGTGTTGACATGAGTTTGTCCTCTTTATTTTCAGCCAATTGCAATTGAAGTTTTCTCAGGAGATGGACGGAACTATCTTCTAGCTTTCCAAAAAGGAGTTAGAAACAAAGTTTATCAAAGGTATTGTAAAATAAGTTAGAACATTTAATCTGAATATTTGCAAATAACTGTGTTGAACCATATTTGAGCCAGTGACCTGACAACCAGAAGCAGATTGCAAGATGGGTGTTAGGCAGTGGATAACCTGATAGCAACATAGTGCTGCATGAAAGAACCACTAGGAAGCGGCAACGTCTGCATGCGAAACTTGGAGTACATGTTCAGCAAGAAAAGGATCAGGCCAATTTGGGTTGAAGATGTTACGTAGCTGCTCAAAGTCTGTAACTGTACTAAACGCACTCTATTTCTAAGGAGAAGACATACCGAGGACAGAAACACTAACCTTAATCTCCTTTTAACTGCTGATGCAGGTTTTTGGCTGTGGTGCCATCTCTAACGGACAGTTCAGAGTCAGTGTCTGGGCAGAGACCAAACACCAGCGTAGAGCAAGGGTAGGTGATTCTGTTCCTCACATGCTCTATAGCTCATTAGTTTCAAGTAAATGATGCCTGCATTAAGGTCAGGATTCACTGGAGAGTACTGCAACCTCGCATTACCAAAATAAATAATTAGTGGTGTTGTGCTCCAGTTATTTTAAATATACTAATATCATTGGCAGCATTGGTGTATCATCTTACTAATTAATATATGCTATCAGGATTAATGTTATCGCTATACAGTTACATTTTGAAAGGAATTGGAATGGCAAAGCCATTAGATTTGTCCAAGTTGTTAAAGATTTTTTCCTTATCGGCAGCCTGTTCAATACATTTGTACTTGCACTGAATTGCATAATTAATGTGCATAACTTTAACAGTATGTGTTTAGAAATAAAAAAAGGCACTGCTAAAGCAAAAAGGAACAAAGCCCCGTTTTTCTAGTTGTTACATTTTACAAGTTTTAATCTTAAAACTTTGGGTTGTCGTGTGAAGATGTAACCCAGATCTTACTGCTAAGTCAGAAAATGCACTTCCTTCTTCCCATTAGGTCTGGCTTGCTTAGCACTTTAGTGGGAGAAAAATCTGTTACTCAAAGATGGGAAGTAAGTATGAAAATTTTCGGGGTTTTTTGTATTAAATTCCACATTTTGTAGTGATACGTAATTAATCAGTGCACATAAGTTGCATCCTTTTATTCGAACAGGTGGAGTATACTGCTATAGAAAGTGTATCTCAGCATTTTAGTTTGTAGCATTTTGTGATATCATCCTCAAACAGGAAATGGTTCTGCTGTTGAAAATGCAAGGGGAGGGACTGTTGCAAAAGTAGAGTGAGCGTTGTAATATTAAAGTAAGTTTGGTATGTTTGGGGTGAGCTGAACACTTTGACAGTCTGGCAGTGTAGATGTTTGGTTGTTGTAAAGTGAACACTTTACAGTGCTGTTATCTGTCTTCCTTAAGAGAGGAGAAATCAGTAACTTCCAGTACCTGATGCACTTAAACACTCTGGCGGGCAGATCCTATAATGATCTCATGCAGTACCCTGTCTTTCCCTGGATCCTCGCCGACTATGATTCAGAGGTAAGCAAAATATCTTGTCAGCCTTGTCAGCAATGTTTTATTTGTTGGAGGTTTTGAAAATATTACAGCTGGCTCATACTGCCTTGGTAAAAACCGAGGCTTGTCTTTATCGCCAGTTGTCTGATTTCAACTATTTTGTAATGTTCCTCCCTCTTACCAGTGGGTAGGGTATTAGAGATTCTTGGCTGTCCCATGTGGGCAAGTCCTTACCTGCGCTGATTTTACGGATGTTATTGGACTGTGCACAGGTGAGGGCCGGGATACATAGCTTGTTTTAAGGCAGTTGCCTGTTCTGTGTTGCTGCAGTTCCTGTAAGTCTTTGCATTAGCTTTCTGCTGAATATCCTGAAGGACATTATGCCCACCAAGAAAGCATGCTTCTCCAGAAGACTGTGGTAGGGGCTACTATGAAATGTGGCCCCACGGTGAAGAATTTGCTTTTGAAAAAGATGCAACATTAATGCTTTTGTGGGCAGCCATTGCTACCAGCCAGACCATAACCTAAGATACTGTTAGGGTGCATGTTGAGTATTCCAGAACAGAATCAGGGGGAATTGGGGAACAGGATGAGGGGAGTAGGCCAAAAATTATCTGGAGCCCAGATGTGACTTCAAATGAAAAACATTGAATCTCTTAGATCATACTGAAGGACTGTTTTAAGCACATCCAACATTGCACCTGCTGTGTGTGTAGAAACCAAAGATGACAGCCTTAGGAGGTATGTGGCGTACAATATGGTAATCAGCAGTGTTGAAAGAGTTTGTTTGGCTTTTGGGTTTTTTTTTTATAAAATCGATGTCTGTTTTATTTTTAAAGGAACTGGATCTTACGAATCCCAAGACATTCAGAAACCTGGCCAAGCCCATGGGAGCTCAAACAGAAGACAGGTTAGCCCAGTACAAGAAGCGATACAAAGACTGGGAAGATCCCAATGGTAAGTAATGATACATCCTGCAGGAAGAGCAGAGGGACGTGTGCCTGTCACATGATGGGAAGGAGTCAGGGATTTTAATATTGTGAGTCAAGAGGTCTGGATGTGGAAATGCAGAAATTACCACGTTTTTTAGTGACTCTCCAACAAATTCTAAATTAGAGCAAAGGGGCATTGGTTTTCTTGTGGTATTGTTTGTTTTAAATCCAAATGACAGCTTTTGTTTATATGTAAAAATAAAGGTGAAACAGTTGTGCATTCAGAACAGTTTAACATTGTCTAAAGGCTAGAATGGGCAGGGACGTGAAGCGCACAACCAGCTGTCTCTAATAATACAGTTTGAGTGCTGCTGCAAGAAAGTAAGTTCTACAAAGGAATGGGAGTACTTCTGCATTAGCAGTACTCTAGCTCTTTCATTTCTTACCTTAATGCATGTTTTTTTGCTAAGGAGACAGCATTTTCTTAGCTAAAAAAAAAAATTCAGAAGGAGATGCAATTAAGTTTGGTATTCTTGATTTTAGAGTTTCTTTATATATCGAATATAAAACGTGTTTGGCAAGGCAGCCATTATATGATAATTTCTTCTTGTGTGCTTTTATTGAAGACACAAACCTGTTTAACTACTGCAGTGCTGTTCTGTATCAAACAACAACAGGTGGCAAAGACATTTATTTCTAGAAATGAATGAGTATGTTCAAAATGTATTTATGCAGACCTTTTGCCAGGAAATTAAGAAAGTAAAAGCTGTACAAAACCTGTAGCCAACAATTGAGATGAGTTTCTGCCCAAGCCTTTAATTCCACAGTAACCAAAAATACTAAAACTTTAAAAAAAAAAAAAAAAGTTTCTTCAGCAGAAATCACCATAGCTGTGCTGCAACATTTCAATTACTTAAAATAAAAAATGACTAACCATTCAGTATTGCTCTGCAGAAGCCCATTGAATTAGGGCTGCTGGACTGCAGCCAAAACTCAAGTGGTTAATTTTTTTCCAGTTAGTACTGATTCTGTTACCTAACTGCTTTATTCGTTCTGTGTTTATGATTTTTCATCTTCTGCAGGGGAAACGCCAGCTTATCACTATGGGACCCACTATTCATCAGCCATGATAGTGGCTTCCTACCTTGTCCGGATGGAGCCTTTTACTCAGATTTTCTTAAGGTTACAGGTAAAAATTACGTCACTTCACCTTGTGTTTCTTTCCTGCTGTACGTTTGAGACCTAAGTGAAAAATATGATTAATTGGCTTTGTTTTCATCAAATATGGTAGAAGAAATATTTTTAGCAGAGCTATTACTGCCTGGGAAGTTTTTGATGTTTCTTTGTAAAAGATGTAATGGAATTTTTTTTCTTGTAGTTTGAACATTTTTCTAAACGTATGCAGAACAAAATATCAGCAGACAAAAAACAAAGCAAGTTTTATTGTGAAAAATGTATTTGCTTATCATGCTTTATTTGTCTGTTGAAAGAATCATATGCCAGTTGTTTAGTTCTGTGCTGAAGGTGTTGAAAGATTGTTATTTTAAACCAATATGTCTATCCAAAGAGCCATTTTAGTACTGAGTGTTAAAGTAAACAAATGTTTGCAGAGCCTGGAATTGTTTGCTGGTTTGATGGGTAATGGGGTTTGTAACATTACATGCCAAATATTTTCCTAGACAGAACCCATCAGGCAAAAAGATTTGTTGTGTTTCTCTGGAGGAGACTAAACTGAAATAGGACTAGATGACTGTCATCTTAAAATTCTGTATATCTGTGTCTCAGTGGTTTATGTTTACTGTTATTGTGTACTGAAAAGTAATGCAGCTGTTGAAATCCCTTGCATTAGAGGAAGAAACATGCTACCTTCTATAGTGTCTTTACTGGGCAGAGGATGTTCTGATTTACCTTCTTGGCAAAATCTACTGTGCTGAGAGATACTCTGATGCTGACATGCTTCTCACTCCTTCCTGCAGGGCGGTCACTTTGACCTGGCTGACCGAATGTTTCACAGCGTACGGGAGGCTTGGTATTCAGCATCGAAGCACAATATGGCAGACGTGAAGGAGCTCATCCCAGAGTTCTTCTACCTCCCCGAGTTCCTGCTCAATTCCAACAATTTTGACCTAGGTAGGCATTGATAGCATTGCTACGGGTGCGAGAGCAGTGCCATACAGTCTGTCAATGAGAAAAGTGTCTTGTAATACGGGCAGAAAAAGATTTGTTTAACTGCATGAGAAAATGATAGATGACTTGCACGTTCTGACTTAAAGCACAAGCAGGACTGCACTACTGGTATTTCCTGATACTACATGTTTATTCAGTGTTATATTTGAAAGTTTGAATGATTCAGAACTCGTTGTTTCATCAAGAAGAGTGTAGCAGGAATTCTTATTTCCTCTGTGATACCTCAGATTTATTTTTTCAGATTTATCACACTTGAGATATTTTTCTCAAGCAGTGCATGTTCGTTTTAAGCAGTTGATGCAAAGTTTGTTCTGAGAATTGCTGAGGAAGACATTGACATACCCAAAAAAGATTTTTGTTTGGAGTGGCATATTTTAGTTGATTTTTGGTTTTTTACCAGTTCAAAACACACAGATAATCATGTTTTACTTGAAGTTTCTCTAGTTTGCATTTTTCTCCGTGTAACTTGCTACTCCATGATGGTGTTCACCATATGTTTTGCCTATTTTTTGAAGCTTTGCAAAATTTGTTTGACAGTTCTCACTTTTAGAACTTCCTTTTAAAGTATTCCTAAAGGTCTTGTTCAAATGTGACAGTTAGCTTTTGTGAGCGCAATTATTCTACAGGAGTCAAATTTCACACCTGTTGGCCATAGGAGGTACGTGTTCCTTAGTGTGTGTGTCACTCGTAACACTGGCATTAAACTCTTATGTTCTGAGCTCTGTGCTGTGAATCTAATAGCAATAATAAACATTAATCAAGCTGTAGGTTTTAACGGCCTCAAATCCTTTATTCAAAATGTATTGTCAGAGATTGGAAGCACAACCTTACAGAATAAAAGCAAAACCAAAATAACACCCCGCAAAACCTCTCCCAAGTATATTTCACGCAGAAGGGTATGGCCATTACCAGAAAAATGTTGAAGTCTTGTCCGCTTAGCTCTGTATTTGATAATTTTGAACTGTGACCATCAGAGTCCTAGAAATTCTTCAATGAGCATTTGGAACAACAGTAGAAAAGGTTTTGTTATGAACAACTGTCAAATGTCGTGTGATGCTTTTGATTGAGTTAATTTGTAGCAACCCTGCTCCCCTTCCTCCCAGAAAAAAAGAGAGGAAGATTCAAAGTCTGGTGGCGCAAGCGATGTTTCTGTTGGAGCAATGTACTTGTGTACCCCCGTAAACTTGGAAATTTGTTGGTGTTCCTCTGAGCTAATAGGAAACATGGAATTGTTTCTTGGCAACAAGCAACAAAACAAGAATATAACTGGGAAGTCTTAACAAATACATTTTCTAGTAATCGCAATATGCCACCATTTCATGTTCAGAGCAGGAAGGGGGCTACTGGGACCCAGATAAATGTATGTGGCCAGAGTATGCCCAGGGGAATTGCCAACATCCTTGGGTGTGTAGCCTAGGGGGATACCGGTTAGCTCTTCGCTGTTAGGAAATGAATATTTAGCCTGTACTCCTGTGACGTGAAGCCATTCTCATGGATAAAACAATAATTTCATTCCTTGATACAGAATGTTTGTATTGTGAAGAAAATAAATCCTGGGATGAAATACTGTTCCACCAAGGCTTCTCAGTACAGTTTGCTGTTACACTGTCTCGTACTGGGATTTATTTTCTTCAAAATATACTCAACTGACATGCCATTGCTATATATGTACTAAGCAGATGCCAAATACAGGAGATTATGTCCTCTCTTAAGTTGGGGCTAGCACGTTTATTCCAGTTTTCCTCATAGAATAAGAGCAAGGAAGTCGAAAAGAGGTAAGAAAATGAACCTTGCTGTGCTGATTCCTCTGGGTGCAAACTGGAGAGCTGCTATGGTAACTCTCGGTAGGTATGGTAGATCCCGGTAGCAGGGTTGGCTGCTTAGGTGCGAGCTGAACTGACATACCGAGAGTCTGGTTGTGCAGTGATTGCAGAAGGCTGTTTTACTGGCTATTGTTTTCATTAACTTTCATGCACCACAGCGGGTCTTTCCCATGATGAGGAGAGATGAGCAGAAATTTACTTAAATATAAAAACAAAGACAAAATAATCATGTTCCAAGAGCACTTGTTGGGGTAACATAAAGGTTTTGAGTTCAGACTGTACATTATGAAGTTGTGAAGACTGAGGAGGAGTAGTCTAATCAATGCCTCTCACTAGAAGGGTAATGTTTTGAAGAACTGAAATGCTATCATCATCTTCAGAAGTCTTAGCAAGGAATATTTGAATTCTTCCTCCTGCGAACACTCTTACCTGATCAACTGAGGCAGAATTTTTCATGTTTTATTGCCTGACATTTTAATGTGACATAGTATTTTAAAGACAAGACTGAAATGGCTTGCTTTATAAAGGAAGGGTGTTAGAATTTGATTTTTTTTTTATATATATAATTTGTTTTCACCATTGCTGTTGCAGTGCAGTTTCAATGCTTCTCTCCAAAATTTTTTTTCTTTTTTAATAGGTTGCAAACAAAATGGCACTAAACTTGGTGATGTAATACTCCCCCCATGGGCAAAAGGAGATCCTCGTGAATTTATCAGAGTACATCGGGAGGTAATTTGCATTTTAATAATGACAATATAAAATGTCAGTTGGGACTTCCCACTGCATGTTAATCTAAACTTGATTTGTGCAGTCACCACTACTAGCCAATCCATGAGTTCTGCATTGATGGCTAATTGTTGCAAAGGTCTGTAGAACTGGTGTCTCCTCTCCTTCCTTTTTGGCTAGGGAGTACATTGAGGCAAGATTTGCTGCAATGAAAAGCTTCATCAAAACATAACAAGAATATGTCAAAATATATTCTGCATTTTTTGTTGTGGCAGGTGTAGTAGACTCAATGGATGACTGATACAGCTAGTTTTAATGCATGTCCTTTGAATTTCAGGCTCTGGAATGTGACTTTGTGAGTGCACACCTGCATGAGTGGATTGACTTGATCTTTGGCTATAAACAGCAAGGTCCTGCTGCGGTAGAAGCTGTAAATGTCTTTCACCATCTCTTCTATGAGGGGCAAGTGGACATATATAACATCAATGATCCATTAAAAGAGACAGCTACCATAGGATTCATTAATAACTTTGGACAGATACCAAAGCAGGTATACCCTTTGTAGAATTGCTATTTGCTAGATGACACTCAATTTGAAATGTATTCATATAGAATGGGAAAGTGGTTTAGAAGTGAAACTTCCTGGAAATTTCCATAAATATTCTTCCAGAGATGTGAAATCATCTACGTTTCCATCACAAATGCAACAAAGATCAACTTTGGGCTTTGCTTGTGTGAAGAGAAATGTCTTTTTTTTTTTTTTTTTTCCCCTTTGCACCCTTAACATAAAGGTAAAATTAATTATGGTTCAACTCTAAAAATGAGCATCAAAAAAAAGTAAGTATCTTCCTGCTGCAAAGTCAGAGGGGAGCAGTGAAAGTACAACTTCAAAGTAATGCCTAGTGTTTAGGTATTTCAAGTTATCCTGTTACAAAATAATTTCTATAATAATTTATCCTTTTTTTTTTTAACACGAGTCTCTTGGTGTTCTGCAGGGCTCAGCCACACCTTTTATTTGAAGCATCTGTTGAGAAAAACCTCAAAATTTAAATTAGGAAGATTGACTTTTGTAGGACAGCTGTAGTCAAGGAGTTATATAGACACATTTTTGGTGCAGCTTTATAGTTTGTGTTCTCTTTAAGAGATTACATTAAATTATTAAATGTAATATTAAATCTACAGTTTTACTGTGTAGGTGTTTTGGGTGGTTGAGGGTTTCTTTTTTATTATTATTATTTTAATTAGACGTTTGTTTCAAGGTTTTTTTTTTTTGCTTTTCTAAATGTTATTGGTGAATTTTTCCAATCCTAGATCTGGTGGAAACCACAGACACCTTTAGCAATTCCCTGGGAACCCAACTCAGGTGTTGGGAACTCTACACTTAGTGCAGCACATAATGTTTCAGGACAGCCACAGGATATTTCCTGTGGGGACCCACTAACAGCAGTCTGTCTCCCATTGCTTGGAAGGAAGGCTCAGAATGGCTCGCCTGTCCTCTGTGGCTGCTTTTCTCCTTTTCCTTCCTTGCTCTCTCTCTCAATCTAGATGTGTAGTGGCTGTGGGGTTTTCTCCTCTCAAGTAATAATCAGTCACTGGGTTGTGATGATATTCAGACGTGGCCCAGCTAAAGCCAGA